TCCTTTGTGGAGAGTGTTACGTCAGGTTACCATCAAGGTTAAAGTCAAATGCTAGGATGTATTCACAATTGTCCGGGATAGAAATTACTATTTCAATTCATGTCTGCCCGGAATGGGAACTACTATTTTCTTTGACTTGGTGTTTGAAATTGTGTTTCTTATCAAAGAAAGGAAGCTTTCTATTCGTGCTCTATTGCCCATGATGTGTATATGTGCTTTCTAGTTACATACTGTACTTGCTGAGTATTTCTGTACTCACTCTTATGTTTATTTGTTTTTTAGGTATACATTGAGATTGGCATGCATGGGCAGAAAGTAGCACCCTTATATACATATCTATTTGCACACTATCAAACTATACTGCTTAGGTCCATAATGACATTTAAACTATATCTTGGTTTTGTCTTGTAATAATCTATTAAATATCTATTGGTTTCTTTCCATGGATTATATGGATGGGTAGCACTATGGGAACGATGTCATTATTAGTTTAATCTATAACTGCCTGACGTGGATGTCTATATTTATAGGAGAGACTCTACCAAAATTTCTAATTATTTTGGGAGTTAGTAGTTTTGAGAGTATTTTGATGTGGCACTCTAGGTACGTGGTTACCTGGGGCGTTACATTCTTCTTGTATCAATTCTTCAAATATCTTTTTTTTGTCACGGTTTGTTTTTCTTAAGTTTGTTTGAACTTTGTTTTCTCATTTATAAAAACAAAATATTCTTTTGCATTAAGGCCTAACTGATTTATTTTGCACCGACATTAATTTTCAGCTTAGAGTTGAGTTGTAGAGTTGGGTCCCCCTGTTTACAGAAAACAAATAACTTTGTTTTGAGCTGCACTGTTGATATTACGATCACAGATAAAATCATATTCAAGTTATTGATTTCCACGCGGAACATGTAACTCTTCTCCAGGTTAATCCAAGGACATAATATAAAAATGTAGACAAAGGGTAGAGATAATTTCTAGTGAGTATAGGGTCTATAGAAAGCTTAAGTTTAATCATATTGCAATACTGTTAATCCAAGAACATAATATAAAAATGTAGGCAAAAGGTAGAGATAATTTCTAGTGAGGTATAGGGTCTATAGAAAGCTTATGTTTAATCATATTGCAATACTTCAGGCACTGGCTTGCTCGCTGCTACCAGATCGTGCTCTACTCCGTATTCGGATAAGGAGAACTTAAGTGATCTCGAGGGCGGTCACCGCCTCTACATCTACCTCTAACGAACTGTGGGATGCGCTGCAAATACATGTATTAAATAATATATAGAAACCAAGTCTACACTATTTAGATACTACTCTAATATTCCTAATGTCGATCAAACACTAAAGTAAACATTATTTCTAGTGCACAATATTCCAGTATGCTAATAGGAACTAAGAGACCTCTGGCCAGCTCCCCTGACGGTGGCTTTTTTCTTGGGCCTTGGCAAAAGACTCCTTGGGCCATTGGTGTATTGATTGGGCCTAATTTGTGGTATTTCGATGAGTTTGTGGGCCCAAACTCAATGGGTGAAATTCTCCTCCAGTTTTATGTGTATTTCGTCTCAACTTTGGTAGTTTGTCACCGGTATACAAATATATACCAACACTCGTGGAAATTGTTTGAATTAAACCCTACCACCATATTGGATGTTTCATACTTTTCCGATTTACGTAAGTATTGGCGGCATAAAATTGGCATTTAACAGTCGCCAACATGCACCCAGGTGTTTTGTTGCACCTTGAAGATTGTTTTTTTTTTATCAATCCGGAGGGAGTAGCAGACATGATATCTGAAAGGATTGTTTGTCTATTTATTATAAATTTTGTTTTTGGTACTCATACATATTATAAGACTAGCAATAATGTCCGTGCGTTGCAACGGGTTCTAAATAATATTCATTGACATAAATTAAAATCCTAAACTATATATTATAGTTGGACATAAATGATGAAGGAAATAAAAACGTATAAATAACAATATGAAACTACAAATAACTTTGTCCGGAACGATAATTCAATATTAGAAAAGTTATAAGTTAGCTAAATATAAGTTACAATAATTTTTAGTGGATCAAATAGTGCTAAAACTAATAATGTAAATGAAAAAACAACTGAAATTAGTTAAGAATTGAAAAAACTTTTTTAGCCCACATATGAAAATCTGATTCATTAATCCTAAATGGATGTCTGTTTCATTGATATAAATTAGAATTTTTCATGTTATAGTAATGTTATAAATGCCATTATATTTATCGATTTTGATTGCACATGTTTTCTCTGTTCACACCTAGTCGATGAGAATCACGGATGCATGCACGAATGGAAAATCGCCTCAAACATTTATGGATTATCGATAAATGCTTTTTCGATAGATGTACAAATTAGTGTGCAGATTATGCATATCGTTTGTTATGTTGTTATATGTATTGGCTATTTAGATGGTAGATTTGTTCTCTTCTTGCTGAGACATACAAAACTCCTCGTGCATTAAAATGGTTAAAAAGAAAAAGTCCATTGTGTTTTTTTTTACAGAGTAGTAGGTCGATTTTTTTAAAACCGACACCTATATTTATATTAGAAGTGCCAATTTTATTAAAAAAATAACACCTATTAAAAAAACCGGTTATAGAGCCAACTGAGCCTCTTTCCCTTATCCTTTCTTGGCTATAGAGCCGACTGAGCCACCGAGACAGACCACGCCGGCGGATTTATAACGTGCCCACTCCATAATGGAGTACACCTAATTTTGGTACCGCTTTACCACAGCCGCGGTAAGGGAGGTCAGGAGGTTTCACTGGCTGCGCCTGGGGGAGGGGTCGCCGACCGTGGCCGTGCGTGCGGGGGATGTGTCGGTGAGCTCGGCACGAGCGGGGCAGGAGCTCGACGGCGGCAGCGGGTGGCAGGGCGAGAAGGAGAAGGAGGAGGGGAAGGGGAAGGCCCCCGCTTCGGCTGTCGAGCTCACGCTAAGTGTCCGCTGAGGAGCAGGGCGAAGGCGTTGAGTGTCCGTGCCGATAGTCGGTGTTTGCGGTGGTGGGGATGGGGATGCCGGCGTCATGGTCAGAGACATGGAGGACCTCCGCCGTGTCCATGTCGACCAGCACGGTGAGGCCCTCGATGGGGTGCATGTAGAAGTTGGCGGTGCCCTCGGTTGAGAAGCACTGGCTCTTGATGAGTCACCAGTTTTCCTCCACTGGGCCCTACTAGCCGAAGGAGATGGGCAGGCAAGCGACGTCGGAGGCCCTGACGCCGCGGCGGATGCTGGCGTTGAACGCCACGTCTTTGAATAGCGCGAAGCTGAGGCTGGTCTGCTCGTCCATGCTCATCATCGGGTAACCGGAGGCAGGGACATGCAGAGGAGTCACCACACCGTTGCCCTCGCCGAGGACTCGGGACTTGCCACGGAACCGGATGACGACCACGGTGCAGCGAGGCGGGAGTGGGTTGGCGCCCTTCCGCCAGCTCTTGACGACGGACTTTTCCGGCTCATCGAGCTTCAGCGAGTGCATGAATAGGTTCGCCCCGCTCCTCAGCGCGAGCCAGTGCTTCCTCACCCGCCCTACTGCTGCCGTTGAGCTCGCGCTCACCCCGCTCACGCCGACCTCGCCCCACCACGCGCATTCCTGACGAAGGAGAAAACGATGGAACTCGGAAATAATAAAATAATTCGACCAGTGTTCTATAGCCAATTACACAAATTTTGTAGTGGCCATCAACCATGTCACGTTTTTTGGTGTCTCCCAGCTAATTACATATTTTTTGCGTGTTCTGTAGCAAATTTTGCCAAGAAAATATGGCATGTTATAACTATGGCGATAAACCAAACACTAGTCTAACTTGATCAAGATACCGCCATCGTTGTAGTGACATTGCTCGTGGACAAGAGCCTTCTAAGCTGCTGCTCCTCCTCTTGGTTGAGGAGGAAACGCTACGCATCCTCGTTGTTGTTAGAGACACGACTAGCGACTAGCACGATGAGTTGACCGGCGTTGTGCTATTAGAGACACGACTAGCGACTAGCATGATGAGTCGACCGGCATCGTGCTATCAAAGACGAAGAAGTGGAGGTGGCAATTGAGGGATGGGGATGGAGAGAAATCGTGAGGGAGTGATACGGTTCTAACTTTAAAATATTGCAGTAGCATGCAACCGATTCATGAATAGTAATGTTATTTTTCTAGTGCGATATATTTGCAATGACATAGATCTAATTAACCCTTTGTTTTTATAGCGTCTGTTGGCCACAGGTGTGATGTGTTATGGTAAAAGTTTTTAAGTACTTTGCGTAAGAAAAGGTGTGATGCATGTTACAAATGTGACAACAAATCAAACACTAGTTTTACTTGATGAAAATGCCTAGCCATAAGTTTAGCAAATTGTAGCATCTAAACAAAACACCCGGTATCGTAGGGCACGGGCACCACACTCTCCTGTGCAAAGCTAGTATCCTTCAGTTTTGACTTTTGAACAAGAGAGCAGAGGACAAATCACTCCACCATCCAACCGTCCGTTACAAGAAAAAAAAAACAGGCACGAGCACGGGCAAGCGTTGAGTGTCATTGGCTCGCGCACCGTGCAACGCGACACGCGGGGAAGACAGACACACAGCGTACGGGTAGGGGGTTTGGTGAGTGGCACGCCGGTGAGCGTACGAGAGGGGAGAAGGGGCGAGAGGGCTGGGCGATCCGTGCGCAGCGGGTGCAGGTGCTGAGCTGCATTCCACCGAGAGGCGAGAGGGAGAGGGAAGGCGCCAGGGGGACTGGGGAGCATGTTGCATGTGCGAGCGTGCGATGCACTGCACTGCTGAACTGCTCTGGGAGAGCGGCTCTGGAGCCTGGGCCATGTCGTACAAGGCTACATACTCCCGTCCGTTCTTAAAAAAAAAATCAATTCGTGGGTTTCAGTGTCTAACATTTTGAAAAAATTATAAAAAAATTTAAAAAGGTAAGTTATGCATAAAGTATTATTCATGTGATTTATGTGCTAATTAGGATACTGCGTAAACATATATCAAAGAAATGTTGCTATTTAAATATACATATGTTCAATAAAAAGATAGAATGTGATATAGTGATTTAGTTAAAAAAACATATATAAACCCAAGCAATGATAAGTGGTTAGATATATATGAAGGATAAAGTAGAGGATAAATTTATAAATATAGATTGTCTTATGCATACTCATTCCACGTATACATATCACATTCCAATCAACATCAGCTTGGTAAAATCAACCTTGCAAAGCCATTTTGGTTCTAGCTCGCACGAACTAGACAAATTTGTTCACTGAAATAAGTATTTTATAAGTTTATGTACTAAATTATATCTACCTAACAAGTATTTTAGGATGGACAAAGTAGCTATTAAAATGGGAACGCACGTTAGTTCGTGCTACATTGACTGGAGTGCTCTGTTTTGGTACTAGAGCTGTAACAACATTTTTTGTTTGTTATCTTCTCCTTCCTTATTATAAGTTTATCATCTTGAGCTTCCAGTCCCTTGCATTAAGAGTTGCAGGTCAAAGGAGCACCACCCAAGGAAAAGAAATGGAAAAACAATAGCGTCCACCATTGCGACGAACTGAATTTTCTTGCAGAGACCTCTAACTTGATTAAAAGAGATCCATATAACAGAATTTCAAATACAGTACTGTTTAAGGCTCCATTAGTAAAAATTCTAACTTTTCGACAATACTGTCTATCTTACCCTGTTCAGCGTTCACTACTCCAGTAGCTAACATGCCAACAAAGCACAGAATGAAGCTGAACGTGTCGTGAAATTTCACTTTTGCACAGATTTATGTATAAAAGTAAATTTATTTTAGGATTGAGGGTGTAATGATCAAGTATGTCCCTTGCAAGCGAGCAAGTACTGGCAACATAGGTGTTCCTGGATACTTTTATAGCTTGAAATTTAAGCAAGTCTGCACAGATCTATGGCCTATGGGGACTGGAGTCAGCACTGTGAGATCTCAATACGCTGATAGAAATTTCACATGGATTCGGTCTCCAAGACTGAAAACATCTAGGTGGGTACTATAAAATAGCCGTTTTGATTGATTCCTAAGTGATCCAAAGCTTGAATTCATCTTATATTCTATCTACCACACCATCGAACATGGTGTAGCTCACGGTAGTCCCAATAAGTGTAGGAGTATCAGTCAACTTTACAATGGTGCAAATTTTCATACCTGGGCACCTCTTGCCCCCGTTTCCCTTCTACAAATAGGTGATGATGCAAACTGGTTTACCATGATGCAGTATAAGCTCTACTATGCTCATGGCTAAGGGAAAAAATTCTCCACCAAATCTCCATGGCCCAAATTACATTCGAAATGCAAGCGATGTATTTCCCTGCGGAAGAAAAACACTAGGAATGATGCTGCTCTCAGTGCTACTTGTGCTTGTTCTCTCAGCATATTCTCCTGAGCAGATTTTCCTTTACCCTCCAATGCCAGCACACAACTCTCATCAGACGGCCATCAACAGTATGCTCTCTCAGTCTTCATATTTTTTTTCGGGGGGGGAGGGGGGGGTTAAAAAACTGCCATTATAGTTACATTTTGTGTGCCATTTTTCTACCATCAGTTGATTCTTTGGAAAGCTATTGTTCATCAACATATGGAGTATTTATGTGTCAGATTAAATTTTTTTTCCTACACTTTCCACCTGTACATTTGGAACATGAACGAAAGGGCAGCATAATAAGATACTAGTTCACTCTACAACATCAACTTAAATTTCAGTTCTATGGGAAGTTAAATAGTACTAGTGTTGTGAATCTTGTGGTTTAAAATGCTTACCAAGCCTAGCTGTCTATGTAGTTTCGAATTCTTTCTTACCTTTCAGATAATCTACATATTATATTTCAGAAGTGTATCAGATTAATAATTGGGAAAAGATGCAAGCACCAAAATAAATGAACAAAAGGAAACATAACTTCTAACTCTGCAAAATCCACCCCCAAAGAGTTATGGCATATTTCCGATGTCGACAAATAAGATATGTATTGATAGCATATCAGTTCTTTTTTCTTTTTTTTTTTGCGGGGAGCATATCAGTTCTAATATAATCAAAAGCAGCAAGCTTGCCTATCCAAGAAATTCAAGTGTGATTTTGTCTTTGTTTAGGTCCTCATGACAATGCAAAAGCCTGCAATCTGTTCAATGGAACATGGGTTAGGGATTTTGGAGGCCCGATTTACACTAACACAACATGCCCAACGATACCAGAGGCAAGGAACTGTGCAAAGTACGGAAAGCAAATGGATTATGTAAACTGGATGTGGAAACCGCATGGTTGTGCCATGGAAAAATTCGAACCCCATCTATTCTTGACTATTGTCAGAGGGAAGACATTGGCTTTTGCTGGGGATTCGATTGCACGGAACCAGATGGAATCATTGCTCTGTTTACTGTCTCAGGTAAACACCTTGTGTTTTAGTTCTTCTAAATGTGTAACCAAAGGAAGACTTGCTTTTAACTTGCGTAAACCTATATCACCAGTGACACAATTACAGTAACTTGCTTTTAGGTTCATTTTGGTTCTTTACCCTACCAAATTGTTGGTAGTGTAAAAATTTAGGCAAGTTTTGCCACTACCAACAAATTGGTAGAGTATCACATTGGTTTGGCAAAAAAATAGCTTCAATCCGAACTCTAGCCAAGTACTATTGGGTTGCCAATTAATTGGTAGGGCACATTTTGGTAGCAATCCAAAATGGCCTATAATTCTTTTGAGTTTTTAGCACAACTATAGACAGGTATTACTCCATATTTGACAAGTTAAGATAGAAATGGACTGGAAGAAGAAAATTTGAGCTCTTCCCCTTTCCACTGAATAATAAAAAATATATATACTGGTGTAATATAAAGAATACCTTAAACAGGCATCACACCTGCAGGAGGCCCTATAGATCTTTGCATAGATTCATGTATTTTCTAGAAAGAAATTTTTTAGGTTACAATTATGAAATAATTTTCTCCAAAGAAATTTGTAGGTCACAATTATGAAATATGGACCAAGCAGCTCCAGGCCTGGATTTTATTTACATTGCTAACCCGGAATCAATAATGTTTATAAGTTATAACAGAGTGCTTTCATATTTTATGCCAAAAATGGGGCATAAAATTTACACTAAGTTCTTCCATCTGCTGATTTATCACAGCAATTCTACTTCATGTACCTTTGTTTCTAGAAATTTTATCAGATAGCTGTGATTAAAGACCTTGACACAACTCTACAAGCTTTTCCAGGTAGAAGCACCAATCAGAGTTAGTAGTGACACCAAAGATAAATTTGTCACCTGGAACTTCAGGTCTCATAACTTTACTCATGGTTCTTTGGACCAAATTCATAGTAGAAGATTCTCAAAGACAAATCAATGGTACAGTAGTTGAAGAGCATGACATACACTTGGATAAACTTGATCCAAGATTAGCTACAAACTTACACCAGATCAATATTTTAGTCATATCCACCTCGCGTTGGTTCTTCAGAAGAAACTATCTTTACGAAGGTGAGGAGCTCATTGGATGCATATACTGCTCAGAGGATAACATCACAAGCTTCAGTGTCCCTATGGCTATTCAGAGGGTATTTCGAACAGCGCTAAAAAATTTGAAAGAGAGCCAGGAGTGCAGATTGCAATTGACAGTGGTAAGAACAGCAACATCAGCACATTTTGAAAATGGTTTGTGGAATACTGGAGGATCTTGCAATAGAACTGAACCACTGAGAGAGGAAGCAATGATTGATCAAACTGAATGGGCAATAAGAAATGCACAGGTTGAAGAGGCTGATAGAACAAAAAAGAACAACGGCAAGGGAGGGGTGAAAATAGAGATTATAGATATAACCAAAGCTATGTCAATGAGGCCTGATGCACACCCAGGTATCCATTGGAATAACCAGTGGATGAGGGGTTACAGTGATTGTTCGCATTGGTGTCTGCCAGGACCAATTGATATGTGGAATGAGCTACTGCTTGCTGTGCTTAACAAATATAAGAACAGCTTGGAAGATCAATGACACAAGGCCCTTTGCCAATCCATCACATCCACAATAAGAGTTACTTTTTACCATGACAACACCAGGCACCTATTTTTCTCATTTGCAGGAACTTTTGTTAGATTCAGACAATAGGACATACGAAATATGATCACTGTGATGACCTAGACATAAAACTATTAGAGTTCTCTATGTCGAAGGCAAAAGCAAAGGACCCATCTGGGGTCAGTTTTTGAACAAGCAGAGTTTTGCAGTTTGAAATCACTTCTGATTAGCGAGAGCCTATGGGCTACAACATTTTAGTGGTTTCCATAACCATTTTGTGCTGGGCTGATGGCCACTTGATCAGCATTAGCTAGTTTTATCATAAAGATATTCAACAGAAAAAATATACACATGAAAATATTAGTGGTGAAATAGAAACATAGAGCTATACAGAAAATTCAATCTTATGAATACCTGATGGTTCTCTACCATGCTCAGCTTGTCAATTTGTTATCATCAAAATCTTTGGCTGTACTCCTGCTGCTAACAGAAGTTTGCAGTAATTCCTTGCTCATCAAGTGCTTGCGTTTTTGGAGGCTCAGCCAAACCAAAATACTGTCAGTCTGGACAATGTTATATCCTGCTTTCCTGTACATATTGAATGGAACTTGGTCGATTATCCTACAGTGCAGATATACGTGCCTTTTGGCATCCATCTTGATAATCAGATCCTCGCATGCCTTAAGAAGTTGTTTTCCAATTCCTCTCCTAATGGGAAGAAACAAGGCACAATAAAAACTTTATAAAGCACATAATCAAAACATTATATAGATTAACAAATTAATCCTGATGGCATAAAACCATAGGTTTCACAACTTACTCATCTATCTCTGATCGAAAAGAGAATGAGTTCAACCATTAGATGTCACGTGCAAGAGCCATGGGCCCTAGAACTAGGCCACATGGGTAACTCTCATGCATTTTTCCTTTTTCAGGAATCTGGTTCATAATGAACAATACTTCCAATCTTCTCCAAACAAATACTCTCTTTCAAGTAAAATTAAATCATGGCCATTGCATTTTATATAAGCAAAGTATGACAATTTGTATAGTAAAAACCCTTCTACACTGGTTCTCGATTTACCATGTCCACAGAACAACTTTGGTTGCTACTTGGAGCCTCAAATTATTTAGTGCATATGCAATAATCAGCGAAAATGGGAAAATGCTTGATCCAACGCAACCATATGCTGCTATGCTAAGGAAGCTCAATTGGCAACTCAGCTCTCGCCTCAAAATCTATCAGCATAGCATACTCCATTTTGATTTGCAGACAAAGTGGAAATGGCCCTGATGGTGTAATCCATTACCTCCTCAACGACGTCTTGACAGTCATGTTGCAAATGTACGGGAAGTCAAGCGGCGGCGTGGGCGTGGGCGGGGCACCGGGCGCGCCCACCGCGTCCAGCGACACCTCCGCCGTGCACGCCATCTCCCCGTAGTCGTCGTCGTCCTCGTTGCCCTCGCCCTCCTCCTCATCCCCGTCTCCCGTGGCGGCGGGGCGGTAGTACCCCACGAGCACGGCGGCGTGCGGGGCGAGGCCGCGGCGCTCGAAGAGGTAGCGGCGGATGACGAACGCGAGGAGCTGCTCGTACCGCTGCGCGGGTGCCCACCTGACGTTCTCGGCGAAGGACGACGCGAGGAGGCGGACGAGCGCGTCGGACTCGTCGTCGTCGCCCGCCGGGGTGAGCGCCCGCACGGTGAGGCGGCCGTGCGGGAAGGAGTGCGCGTAGCGGAAGGCGGCGAGCTCGTCGCGCTGCGACAGCGCGCGCGGCGAGAGGAAGACGCCTCCCCCTCCCCCCGCTGGCCCCGTGACGATGCCGCCGTCGCCCTCGCCATCGGACGACGACCGAGAGGCCGCGAGGCGTGCCCGGTGGCGAGGCCGCGAGCGGTAGGGGGGGCAGGAGAAGAGGAGGCGCGGGTGGGTCGGGGCGGCTGGGGAGACGGCCGGGAGGAGGAGGAGGAAGGCCGCGGACGCGGCGGCCATGGCCGGCGCGGCGGAGCGGAAGCGGAGGTGGGTGTAGAGATTAGAAGCGATTTCTTTTTCTTTCCTTTTTTTTTTGAAACGGGTCCACGTGGATAAACGCCAACTGTGCGTCGCTTAGATACCAACCCTGAAATCTGAATCTTCTGAACCTTCTCTGTGCTCCACACAACGTTCTGAACGGAACCTCTCTATCTGATCACCCGTTGCCATCTCCGTCGCTTCAACCACCTGCAAGCTGCAACCGAGATACCAACTCTGAATATTCTGAACCTTCCTGCCATGCGTAGCACACCATTTTACATCATTGATTCAGGTCCTGTTTAGTTCGTGAAAAAGAAAATTTCGAAGTGCCACACCGGATGTTTGATCAAATGTTGTAAGAGATTTTTGGACACGAATGAAAAAATTAATTTCATAACTCGCCTGGAATTATGCTCAAAAGATTCGTCTCGCGATTTCTCTTTTAAGTGTACAATTAGCTTTTTTAATTTATATTTAATGCTCCATACATGTGTCCAGAGATTTAATACGATGTTTTTTTAGAAAAAAGTTTTAGGAACTAAACTACCCTCAGCCAAGCAAGCTAGAAAGCTTATGCCAATTCACTTGGTATACGGAAGAGAGATGGAGAAATGCAAATCATGGAATTGAGTTCAGCTGGTTAGTTCAGACAGTTACTAGAAGGAGTACTTCCGATCACTGTTACCCGCATCACTGTTGCCAACGGCAAACCGAACAGGCATTATTACCCGCATTTTCAGATCAAGAATCCCAGTATCGCACCAGCACAATCAGTATCACTCTCACTCTCACACTACCATTAACGTACTCCCTCATTCCAACCAACGTTGTTTTATTTTGGGACAGGAGTACCCGTTAACAGTAATAAGTCTCTGGCTCTCTGCACCGGCCAACACGTTCCCGGTCTATCGTTACCTATTCTTGTACCACATCAATCTGCACCGACGCCATAAATTGTGTGCTGCGATAGGTAGCTGGATCTCGCCGGAGTGCATCAATGGCCAGCAGCGGTAGTAGCTCCCCACAATCAAAGCAGCTGACCGTGGCTATATAATAAGGCTCTAACGCCATGGCCACACAACAAAGAACTCAAGAAGCAATTAACATTCGCATTCATCAGCTGGTAGGTAGTGTGAGCTAGAGATTAAGGGAGAGAGAGAGATCATGGCGTCCAAGGTTGAGCTGGTGGTGGAGGTGAAGTCGCCGGCGGACAAGCTGTGGACGGCGCTGCGCGACTCGACGGAGCTGTTCCCCAAGATCTTCCCCGAGCAGTACAAGAGCATCGAGACCGTCGAGGGCGACGGCAAGTCCGCCGGCACCGTCCGCCTCCTCAAGTACACCGAAGGTAATATGCACTTAAAAAATCTCGTGTTTAATTCTCAACACGTTCATATTGTTTTTTAAAAAAAATGTTTAGAGTGACGTCTCTCCGGCCAACTCTCATTTTTACGAATGATGCCTCCGATCGATGTATGAACTTTATTGAAGGGGTGCCGATGGTGACGTTCGCGAAGGAGAAGGTGGAGGTGGCGGACGACGAGAAGAAGGTGGTGTCGTACAGCGTGGTGGACGGCGAGCTGGTCAGCTTCTACAAGAACTTCAGGGTGACGCTGCAGGTGACCCCCAAGGGCGGCGCCGCCGCCCCCGCCGCCGACGGCGCGGTGGTGAGCTGGACCATGGACTTCGACAAGGCCAGCGAGGAGGTGCCCGACCCGGACGTCATCAAGGAGACCGCCGCCAAGACCTTCCACGACCTCGACGACTACCTCCTCAAGAACTAGCCAGACAGCCAGATCGAGCGCCGCCGTGCGGGTGCGTGGCTTATGTGTTAGAGTCCACTATAGCGTCCTCGCCGTCAGTCGTCGTCGCACACGGTCGCAGTATCGGGGTGTTGCATTTGCTAGCTCTCCGGCTAGCCACTGTCTCCCACGAATTAGTGTACGTATCGGTGCATGAGTGAATAATAAAGTGTTCAGGTTAAACCGTTTATCGTCTCTCCGGCTCTCCGTTTACTGTTTCCTTGTATTGATTTTCGGTCTATCCGACTCTCTCACTCTCCTTTGGTTAGGCCTAAACATGTTTAGGTTGAGAAAATTTTTAGATTTGGTTGTCATATTGGATATACAGATACATATTTAAAGTATTAAATATAGTCTAATAACAAAATAAATTACAGATTCTATCAGGAAACTGCGAGACGAATTTATTAAGCCTAATTAAACTGCCATTAGCAAATGCGAGTTGAATTTATTAAGCCTAATTAATCCACCATTAGCAAATGTTTATTGTAACACCACATTGTTAAATCATGACGCAATTAAGCTTAAAAGATTCGTCTCACAATTTACACGCAATATGTGTAAATGGTTTTTTTTACTATATTTAATACTCCATGCATGTGTCAGCGTGAAAATTTTTGTTTTGAAAACTAAACAGAGCCTTATTTTGATTCACAGGGTTGGTCTTTGGTTGTGACTTTCTGTTGGAAGTTCCCAGATATTTTTTAAAAGAAATTCACTAAAACTTATACAGATAGTATATAGTTTGTTATAAACATTTTTTTCTGAAAAAGTTGGTAGATTAGTTTTCGCAATTGATTGGTTGTATTCAATATGTCTTAGCCATATAGGAGGGCAGTTTTTTTCTCGTATCTGTATGGAAATTCCTTTAAATTCAGCCTTAAATATATGTAAAACCGACCTAAACTTTTTTTAGAAATCGCAGTGTGAATTTAAAACCAGGAGTTTTTAATCCAACGCGAAAATCCTGAGTGCAACTCTCTGTCTCGAATATCAAATCGGAAGTTCCGTTATGAGTTCATGTTTGTCCATAAATTTTGGACTTAATGTTCATAAATTTTGGGTGCTAAATTTTGATCTACGTGATATGAAAAAAAAATATAGAAAGACAAAAGGACTTCATCTATAGAAAAAAACATCATCTTATTCCGATAAAAAGATGGAAAAGTTTCCACAAGGAAACTTTCAACTGTAATAAAAACTTTCTATAATAAAACTTATTTATAAAGAAACTTTAATAACGACATTTTTCATCGTAGATTATATATTACGAATTATTGGGCCTAACTAACTATAAATAAACCTACTTCCAAATGGCGCACAATAGAGAAATGGCGCACAATAGAGAAAAAAATAAATATGTCATGCACGTACGTAAAAATACCGCGTAAAACAAAAAAAAATTAACATATTTCTTTACTTACAAGGAAGATATACACACCACACTCACATGTCTAACGATTATGTTCCTAACGTACGCTTAAATAGACGATACCATTAGCCTCATAAATAGAGAAATGTATCCACGAGACATCTCTAATTGTAGCGCCCGTTCCGTCGTGGCGCCTAGCGGGAAAACTATCTCTTAAAAACCCTATTTGCAAAATCCGTTTCTTTGCTTGTTGTCTAGTGTCCGTGCCATCTCAGATCTCAAATCCTCGATCTATCGTCGAGTTCAATCCCGAATCCAAATCCTTCCCAAATCAAATCCCTCCGCAAAAGTCTATTTTGCCTCCCTCGGGTTCGATGGGCCGAACTCCTCTCGGCCCATCTCCCCCTCCCTCCCCGGCTCTCTCTCTCTCTCCCTCTCCCCCGCTCTGCTCGTGCGCTGCGCACGCGTGCGCGTGAGCCGCGCCGAGCCGAGCGCCCTCCGCCCTCGCTGCCGCTTCTCGCCGCGCCGCCCGTTGCTTCCCGCGTGCGCGCGCGCCATGGTGGCCGACCGCCTGGTCGCCGCCGCCGTCAGCGCCTGCCCGCGCCTGCCGCCCGTGTCGTCGCTCCGCTCCAAACCGCCCCGCCGTCATCGCCGTCGTCATCGACTCGGCCTTCCCCTCTCCTCGCGCTAGCCTCCAAGGGACGGAGGCAGAGCTCCTCCTCCCTCTGCCGCGTCGCCCCCATCCCCTCCTCCTTTTCCCAAAGTGGCAAGGGGCAAGCCCCCTTTCTCCCTTCCTTTTTCCTTTTCCCCTCCCCGCCGGCGTCATCCGCCTCTGTCGCCGTTTTGGCCGCGAGCGCTGAGCGCCAGCTCGCGCCTTGACCGCCCAAGGTCGGTTTCCAAACCGACATCGTCGTCCTATAAACCAAGGCGCCCTCCCATCGATTCCTCCTCCCGTTTCGCTCGCTGCCACCGCGCCATTGCCGCCCCTCTGTCTCGCCTCCGCCGTTCATCGCCAAGCACCGGGAGAGCCGGTGTGTTCGTGGACGCGGAAGGGGACTCCGGGCGCTTGCCTTCTTCCTCTTCCCCGGCCCGAGGCCGGAGAGATCACTCCTGTGCCGTCGGCCTCTCGTCACAGCGCCCCACCTCATCTCGGTAGTGCATCTCCCCGTTCTCCCTCCTCAATCCATCTCTTCCCCTTAGTTTTCGGTAGTAGCATGTGTAGCCCCCCCATAGCTAGCCGGCGCCGCCCCGACTACTGCCGTCGCTCGCCGTGTGCTCGCCGCCGTCGCCGCCCGAGCTCGGAAGCGCCTCTCGTCGCGGGCCTCCCTCGATGCGATTCCTCCTAATCCGGCGCAAGGGGTAGATTCCCGTAGCCGCTTAGATGCTCCCACCGCCGGGAATCGGCCCCTCGTGACCTCGTCGTCGTTTCCCCCTTTTCTCTCCGCCGGTTGCCGCCGCCGCAATCCGCCGCCGTCGAGCATCCCCCGGCGAATCCGAGCCATTGGCTCGTCTCCCCTCGTCCTGCGCAACATCCCGGTGTGCTCGCCTTCGCCTGTATCGCCATGGTTTGCTCCGCCGCTCGCCGCTGTCGACCGCCGTCCGTTCCGGCCGGCGTCGTCGTCTACCTCCCGCCGGCCCGCGTGGCAGCCACGTAGGCGCCACGTCGGCGCCACCTCGGCCGCGACCAGGTCAAGTAGACCCCGGTCCGCCGCTTCCCTCCGCCCCTCGCGCGCGCGGTCCACCGCGAGCCGTGAGGCTGCGCGTGGGCCCGCCGCACCGCGTCCTCCGCGAACCGCGCGCATGCGCCGCGCCTCCCTCCCCAAACCCTAGCACGCCCCGCGTGCACCTCGCTCACGGTGAGCCGAGTCGCCGACAAGCGGGTCCCACCCGGGACCACGAGGGATGGACCCGGCCCACCGGCTCTCTCTCTCCCCTCCCCGCTCGCGCGCGCGCCTTGGGCCGCCTTCATAGGCCAGCCAGCCCATTAAGGTCGGCCGAGCCGCCCCATTCTCTCGGGCCGTGCCCTAGCCGCCCGAGGGAAGTCTAATTTCCCTCCCTCCTTCTTTTCTTTTCTTTTCTTTTTCAAAAAGGATTTAAATAAATCCTTTTCCTTTAGACCAAAAATCCAATAATCTTAGAAATTCAATATCTCCCCAACCGTAAGTCCGTTTGACTCCGTTCAACTTCCAAAATTCCTCAAATCTCGAGATCTATCTAATGGCACGCTTAGAGGTCAATAATAAGGCTTTATTTTCGCCGTTTGCTGAGTTGTCCCGTTTCGCGTGTAGTTTCGGAGCCCGAAGACCCGTAGTACGAGGATTTCGAGGATCAAGCTCAAGATCTCGAGCGAGGCAAGCCACCTTTGAACATCTTGAGCCTATATTTGAACTTAATTATATTGCTTGAAAAATATTATGCATTGATAGGATCGCACTTAATCTGCTTGTCCCCTCTGCAAGGCAGATTGGCGGACCTACCTATTTTGTTGCATTTGACCCTTCCATTGTAATTGTTACACCATGTTCCCTTGTATCCACCTAGTTGCGCCTCGGTAATCGTGCACTCTGCACGGGTATCGACGGTCGCCTTCAAACTTAAAATCTGAGAAACTTCTTGGGTAAAACTTGGGTTTTACAAAAGACTTGGAAAACCCGACACCTGGGTCGGTGCTTGCGAACTAAATGAATTTCCAAAATCGCGGACCGAGGAACGTACCGGGTGTACGGTTTCCCGCTCTTGCACTTAAGGACCGTTTCCTTGGAATTTCATTCGAACATAAGACAAGTACGACCACATGGGTGGAATGGGACACCCCTGGCTGAGTAACTAGCTTATCGGGGGAGCCATGATGCCAAGAGACATGTGGATTCGCCGGGGTGGTGTCGGGGAGGACCCCTGGGCTTCCTGGCACAGTATGGTCTGGGACATAATCTGGTGTTGGTCTGGGATCCCTCTCGTTGGCATATGGTGAACCTGTGTCGGCTTTCGAAATGCCTTGTCATGAAAGCCTTAAGGTCTCTAGTCGTGGCCGTTCTGCACGGGCTGGATGATCCGGGTTAGTAATGTCGTGTGGGAAAAGTGTACCCCCTCTGCAGAGGTTATTAAAACTTTTCGAACAGCCGTGCCCACGGTCATGGGCGGATGTGAGGTGATTCCTATCGTAGTTTTTGTTTGACTACTGCCTTGTGAAATTTGCTGTTGTGGAATGGGTTTGATGTTTGGAAAATCTGCGGCTGATGGGATCAGCCAGGCCCGGGTGGCCGTTTGAAAGCTGTTGGCCGGGTGCCAATCTTGATCAATTCAAAAGACTGAATCATTGCACATACTCCGACCGGACGAGACGCACTGTCTCATCCGTGTCGTTTGAGAAGCACTCCCTTAGTTGTTTCAGAAAAGAGTTTAAATAAAATCAATCGTAAAAACAACAGCCTTTCTTTGAAGCCTGCATTAAACACTTGTTTCCCATGGCTTGCTGAGTACTCCTGTACTCACCCTTGCTCTATATAAATAATTCCCCCCAGTTGCTGAAGAAGATGAAGCGGATCCCGCTGACGAGGAGTTCTTCCAGGAGCAAGCCGGCTACGATGAGTTTTAGGGTTTCGGCCTAGTTCCCAAGTCGCGCCTGTGATGTTTGGTCCAAGTCTTGGCTTCCGCTTCCCTTTTGTAATGCAGTTGTGAGCTCGGGATCTGTCCGCTGCCCAGCATGACTGTACTCCTACTCTATAATAAAGAGACCTCTGTTGTTGTGATATTCCGTCTTCCTGTGATACCAGCACTGTTTCCTGGGACTGGTATCGGTTAACAGGTTAATTTGGAGCATCACGGGCTAGTTCCGCTCGGGACTAGTTCGGGGCGTGACACTAATGCTACACTGTATCATATGCTTTCCACACACAAATATTTACTCGCAAGTCGTGCGTATTTGGAATTTAGATTTTTCAAAAGAAAGTTCAAACCATTTGCATACTTGAGATACAAAACTCAAAACGAAAATTGAGATCGAGTTGTAGAGTTTGACATATATATATTATAAAATTCGACAAAGATCAATGATCCTCTGGGCTTTTCACGTGCAGGCGCCCCCGGTTCCGGAATTTCTGCCACGCCGCTTTCGACTGACACCGTGACACGAACCCACAAAAGCCGTCAGCGTCACAAACCCCACTTTTTTCAGGTGCATCGCCGCAAAAACCCCAACCGGGCTGTGACCTCGCCGGAGTCCCCAAACCTCCCATACCGCTATGCCGACGGCGGCGGCGGCGGCCACGGCGTCGCTGCGGGTATCCAACATCCCGCCATCGGCCGTCGCCGCGGAGCTGCTCGCCTTCTTCGACTCCGCCGTCGCCGTCGCCGGCGGCGCGTTCGCCTGCGAGATCGCGGCGGCCCACCGCGGGTGGCTCAGCCGGGGCCACGGCACCGTCCAGTTCGGCTCCGCCGCGGCGGCCGCTGCCGCCGCGGGCCTCGCCTCCTCCGGCCGCCTCCCCCGCTTCCTCGGCGCCCTCCTCTCCGTCTCCCCTTCCCCCGTCGACCTCCTCCCGCGCGCGTCCGACCTCTCCCTCCGCGCGGCCGGCGCGGGCCTCGTGGTGGGCGACCGCGTCGCCGAGCGCGTGTTCGAGGCCGCCGACGCGTGGGACGGCGTGCGCGCCGAGGTCATCCCGGGGAAGCGGCGGGTGGACCTGTACCTGGAGCACGATTCCCAGAGGTACAAGCTCGAGGTGCTCTTCGAGGACATGAAGGATTGCCTCGGGTGCACCCTGGACGGGATGGGCGCCATCTTGCTGCAGGTGAGCTGCCGACCGTATTGCTCTTTGTAGTACTATATGCTATTGATACACTAGTCACTACTAGTCAGACGTTGCTGTGGCAGAGTGTTGACAACAAGTGTTCTGTGAGGCAAAAGATGGCATGAAGATAATACGTTGATGTGCATTTTTTTTCCCGTATGTGTCACCTTGATTTTGCGCTCAGTAGTAAGGCCGCAATAGTAGATTAGTAGTTCATATGATGTGCTTGAAGTCATGGTTCAATCTACAGCTGTTACTCCCTCTGGGCTGATAATACTTGTCGTTTTGGATAAGGGTGAGGTCAAACTTTAGAATCTTTGATTATGAATTATTTTTAAAATATTTGTCTTTCAAATATGGTGACTACATGTATAAATTAGTCTTAAAAAGTACTTTAATAATATCATATATTTGTTAACACTTTTATACATATTATAATAGAAAATAATGGTCAAAATTGTTTTTTGGAGACCGTGCCCTTGTCCAAAACGACAAGTATTATCAACCCGGAGGGAGTAGTTCTCAACTTTTTTCAAAGATTATGTTGATTTAGATCTTACTCGTTTTATTAAATGTGACCTAGCTACCCAAATGATCGCAAGAGCTTTTTTACAATATAAGATTTAGTTAATTTTTACTTCTTTACGCTTACAAAATCATGAAACTTTTATTTACTTGACATATTTGAGTAGATTTTACAAATGGTGGAGTAAAACAATCTAAAAAAAGAGTAGCATTCCTATGCCAAACAACATTACCATTAGCGGCTAAATTGTTGTACTATAACCTCTTGGACTACGATTTCAGATGCACCATTCTTTCCTTTTTGTATACAATTTTTATCTGACAAATATACTGTTTACTTCTAATTTTTGTTTCAGCTCAATTATGCACCAAGAATACACACTGCAATTTCTGGGCCTGCAGTTAATTCAAGGTTTATGGATGACCGCTTTCATGCATGCAAGGAGGATGCTAAATTTTCCTGGGTCAGGGCACTTGATTTTACACCCAATTATTCTTTTGGGAGGTGCTCTACTCTTGTCCTTAAACTGGGTAAAAGTGCATTGGTGTCTGATATTCTCAAAAGTTTACCTTTCTCAGGAAATTTAGGGGAATTGACTATGAATTCAATGGATGGTGTTGGTGCCTCCTCCAATGTGGTTCCCCTTGTTCATTGTCCGAGGGACTATTCAGTGCCTTATGAAGTTCTGTTTCGTCTGAACTCTCTCATGCATATGGGGAAGATAGTCGCCAAGCATGTTAATGCCGATCTGTTTAAAGCCCTTCAAGAACTACCGGTTGATGTCTCAAGGAGAATTTTTGAGAAAATGCACAAATTAGAGTCTACCTGCTACGGGCCTTTACAATTTATCCAACAGGAGGCTTATAGCATGAAGAGAAGCCATAATGTTTTGCTCTCCAATGAAGGTGAAGGTGAAGGTGAAAGAAAATTGATGAAGTGTTATAGAGTTAACATAACTCCCTCCAAAATATTCTGCTTTGGACCTGAAGAAGAGGTTACAAATTATGTGGTTAAGCATCATTCTGCATATGCTTCTGACTTTGTGAGAGTTACTTTTGTTGATGAAGATTGGAGTAAGCTTTCTTCTAATGCAATCTCAGCTAGAATTGAACAAGGTTTCTTTTCTAAGCCTTTCAAAACTGGTCTATATTATCGGATTCTCTCCATTCTAAAAAAAGGATTTTCCATTGGTCCAAAGAACTTTGAATTTTTGGCCTTCTCAGCAAGTCAACTTCGGGGAAATTCTGTTTGGATGTTTGCTTCTAATGCTTCCTTGAATGCTGGAGGTATAAGAAGATGGATGGGCCACTTTGAGAATATCCGTTCAGTTTCTAAATGTGCAGCTAGAATGGGTCAGCTGTTCAGCTCCTCCAGGCAAACATTTGAAGTCTTACGATGGGATGTGGAAGTGATTCCAGATATTGAGATCACAACTGATGGCTCCAAATACATATTTTCTGATGGTATTGGGAAGATATCTTTGAGATTTGCCAAGCGAGTTGCACACCACGTTGGATTAGATCCTACTAACCTTCCTTCAGCTTTTCAAATAAGGTATGGTGGCTACAAAGGAGTCATTGCCATTGATCCTATGTCCTCTATTGATCTTTCTCTGCGTCCTAGTATGAAGAAATTTGAGTCTGAGAGCAGGATGTTGAACATTACAAGTTGGAGCAAGTCTCAGCCATGCTATGTGAATCGTGAAATTATTTCTCTTCTCTCAACATTGGGTATAAGGGATGAAATTTTTGTTGCAATGCAACAAGATGAGATGCGTGAAACAGAAGAAATGCTAACCAACAAAGAAGTTGCTTTGTCAGTCCTAGGGAAACTTGGTGGTTCTGAAACAAAGACAGCAGTGAAGATGTTGCTGCAAGGTTATGAGCCTAGTTCAGAGCCTTACCTGTCAATGATTCTTAAGGCCCATCAGGAGAATAGGCTTACTGACATTAGAACTAGATGTAAAATACATGTTCCAAAAGGCCGTGTTCTTATTGGTTGTTTGGATGAAACAGGTGTATTAGAATATGGTCAGGTTTACATTCGAATTACAAAGAACAGCAAAGAACAAAAGGACAGTAATCAATCATATTTTTATAATGATGACGGGAAAACAGCCACAGTTGTTGGAAAAGTTGCAATCACAAAAAATCCGTGTCTCCATCCTGGTGATATCCGAGTACTTGAAGCCATCTATGACCCTGATTTGGTGGGCATGGTTGATTGTCTTGTCTTCCCTCAAAGAGGAGAAAGGTTTGTGATACTGAAACTGAATTTATCTCTTACCTTAATGTTTTTTAAAGTTTGTATTGCTTTGCCCATGGCTTCAATGGAAGGAAAGGAGTCCATCACTTCTCTATTGAATTGAATCACCACGTTGTCCAGCATTATCTTCCTTGCTAGGTTCCTTTTTTATTGTCAACCTTATGAATGAATGCTGCCAATGATTTGCTTGTATTTGATGTTGATCAGGCCTCATCCAAACGAATGCTCGGGGGGAGATTTGGACGGCGACCTCTATTTTATTACTTGGGATGACAAACTTATTCCAGAGAAAGTTGATACACCTATGGACTACACAGCAACAAGGCCGCGCATAATGGATCATGTTGTTACACTCGAGGTAATGCCTGACTAATTGTTCCTTTTCCCCTTTTTGCTAGGCTGTTGTTTCTCATTTACTGAAGGATTTCTTTTTGTTCTTTACTAATTCAATCTTGATAGTTGCAAAATGTCACCAATTATGGACTGTAGCATTATAGTCATATATATGGGCCTGAGGCACCTTTTAAAAATGTATGCTTGCGGTTAAGGGCATGAATAAATGCATTAGGACAATATGTGCATATGTTCCATGAAACATGTGATGCTAATAAGGTTATGCAAACCAGAAAGTACAAGCTTGGAGTGAGTTTCTAACTCAACTAGTCAACTCACTCAGGATGGTTTAACAATTAACAGAAAAACTGGTGGTCATTGATCTAAAAGTAATATATCTACGTGAACACCAATCATTGAAAAGTTTTGAATAATTTCAAACAAGTATGCACTGACCATACACATTTAACAATAGTATTTAGAAATTTTGAGAGCTTTATTCAGAAAAGAAAACAGCATCCCCAAAAAAAAGAAAAGGAAACAGCAAATACTTGCTTCTGTGAAAAAAGAAAGGCCTCTGGAACATAAATGGCAAATCTTATTGAGTTTATGAGTATAGACTTTTCAAAGTTGCCTCATGGGTGAACAAATGCATATCTCCTCTCAACCATGGTGTTATACTCACCTGAGTGAAATGTTTTTTAAAAAAATGTCTGTAACTGCAGGAAATTCAGAAGCACTTTGTTGATTACATGATAAATGACTCGCTTGGTGCCATCTCAACTGCCCACTTGATTCACGCGGACCGTTCGCCACTGAAAGCTCGGAGTCCCGAGTGCCTCCAGCTGGCAACTCTGCATTCCATGGCAGTTGACTTCGCCAAGACGGGAGCTCCAGCTGAAATGCCGCGAACATTGAGGCCGAGGGAGTACCCCGACTTCATGGAACGGTGGGAGAAGCCGATGTACATCTCCAATGGTGTTCTTGGCAAGCTCTACCGATCAGCGATGGGTCACATGGAGAAATCAGGAGATTCAGGAGCTCTCTCATCATCCTCAGCACAACCAAGCCCCACATACGATCCTGACCTCGAGGTCCCTGGCTCTGACGAATTCCTGCAAGCTGCAGAGGAGTACTACGAGCTGTACGAGGAGAAACTGACCACGCTGATGAACTACTACCGTGCGGAGCTCGAGGACGAGATCCTGACGGGCAACATCCGGAACAAGATGCTGTACCTGAAGAGGGACAACAAGAGGTACTTCGAGATGAAGGACCGGATCGTCGCCGCCGTCGACGCCCTGCACAGGGAGGCGAGGGGCTGGCTGCTGAGCTCCAGGAAGGAAGAGGACGCGTCGCGGATGGCGTCGGCGTGGTACCGCGTGACGTACCACCCAGACCGCCGCCGCGGGAAGCGGTTCTGGAGCTTCCCGTGGATCGCCTGCGACAACCTGCTGGCGATCAAGGCGTCGAGCCAGCTCAGGCGGCGGCGGCAGAAGGACGATGACTCCACCGCGGTGGTGCAGATGGACTGCAGCGCCTGATGTGGCAGAGGATTCTCTGACTTTGAGTGACTGACATGTGGGCCTGCTGGATAAGGGATCCATGGGTCAGTGACAAGTTAGAGGGAAATAAATTAGAGGTTCTCTGACGCGCCGTCCTAAGTGAACTTTCAACTGCACAGTTCATTGCTGTGCGCCTGTGCCTGTACGCTGTACAAATCTGGTTCGACTAATCTTAGCTGAGCTGAACAGCAGAGCTCCGGCTCGCAACTTGGAAGAGGAAAGAGTTTGATGATGAACACCTACGTAGAGTAAAAGTTCCTCTTCCTAATAAAAGAGTCTTAGTGCTGATCTACCGGTAAGGTGGAGGCTTCCATTTCTTGTTTTCTGCGAAGGAAAGAAACTTAGGGTGTGTTTAGTTCACACAAAAATTGAAAGTTTAATTGAAAGTGAACGATGTAACGAAAAAGTTGGAAGTTCATGTGTGTAGGAAAGTTTTAATGTGATGAAAAGGTTACTCCCTCCGTCCCATAACATAAGGGATTTTGAGTTTTTGTTTGCACTCTTTGATCCCTCGTCTTATTCAAAAAAATTTAAAATTATTATTTATTTTTTTTGTGACTTGCTTTATTATCCAAAGTACTTTAAACACAAGTTTTCGTTTTTTATATTTGCACAAAATTTTTGAATAAGACGAGTGTCAAACGTTACAAGAAAAACTTAAAATCCCTTATATTATGAAACGGATGGAGTAGTTTGAAGAAAAAGTTGGAAATTAAACCAGACCTTACAGGGCAATCAGTAGTACAACCAGCATATAGTGGAACCTGGAACTTTGCACTCCAGATTTCCAATATGAAATGCAGAAATGCACCGAGCAGGTAGCAGCGTTTAGCTCAGCCTCTAGGTAATTGGACACCCACGGGTGACGATCCCCACTGTTCGTTTTGTTTAGGCAGGTGGTCTGCTTACTTGCTTACATATCTTTTTCTCGAAAGAGCGCTGCTTGACTAGCTGACTGTTCTTACAAGTGACATCAGTCGAGCGAGCTTTTGAGCGGATTTCATATATCGAAATCCTTCCAAACTTTCGAATGACTTCGAAGGTTTGTCGTGATTATCGACGCTGCGAATCAGTAAAATTTGGTAGAATTTGATACTAATACTCGGAGTATCGAACCAGATTGGTTTTGTACTAGTCGAAACCGAAACCACCTGCACCTTTGGCGGTAAAACCGCACGAGAAAAGCAAGCGACGCCGAGGAGGAGCAAACAAACGGCAACCTACCTACCATATACGAGTCGGACACGGAGCGAGCAAGTCGCCGGAGTTCTTGGTCCAACTCCCCATAAGAGCAGCCGGCCGGAAGTTGGACCACACGCTCCACTCCAATCCAACTCGTCGTCGTACGTCTCCCTCCTCTCGCACCGAACCAAATCCCCATCGCGCCGCGGCGGTGGCGAGGCGTGCGTACGTACGTGATGCCGGGACCGGGGGCGCACCTGCTGTACGCGCTGTCGGGCGGGGCGGCGCTGTCGCGGCTGGCCGGGGCGGCGCGGTTCGGGCCGCACCACTGCGCCGTCTACGCCGCCAACGCCTTCCTCGGCCCGGACCTCGGCTCCTTCGCCGAGTGGCTCGCCTCGTTCCTCCCCTCCTCGTCCTCGGCCGCCGCCGCCGTGGGGGACCTCGCCATGGGCGTCGTCCACCACCCGTTCTACTACCCGCTCCTCCTCGGCTTCCCGCTCGCCTGCCTCTACGCCTGGCTCTCCCGGCGGCTGCTCCTCGCCGGCGTCCTCGACGAGCCCTCTCGGGTGGGGGCACCGCCTCTTCTCCTAATCCCCTCCTGGATTTGCTTTCCTATTAATTAAACCATTTTTTTAATCGCTTCGGTCGCCAAATTGATATCTAGTATTAATTAAACCATTTTTTTAATCGCTTCGGTCGCCAAATTGATATCTAGTATTAATTAAAGAGCAATGCTACACGTATTAAATTTTTCTTACTAAACTTTTACTAACAATCATCTCAACCGTTTGATTTAAGTAAATGGAAGTTACCTAGATGCACTCATAGCATGACACATCAGTGTTGGTAAGAATTTAGTAAGAAAAAGTTAGTACGTATAGCCTTTTCCTTAATTAAACCATTTTTTTAATCGCTTCGGTCGCCAAATTGATATCTAGAAGCAGCCTTGGGATTGTTTGTTCGAATTAACTAAAGCTGGAACATCCGCTACCTATGCCAGTAGTACATACCTTCTGTTGTCTCATTTGGATCAATTAAACAATTAGCACGGCAGCATTGCTCAGTAGAATCCCAACCTGCAATTTTTGCAAATGGAAGGAACATATCTGCTACCTGTGCCAGTAGTACATTCCTTATGTTGTCTCATTTGGATTAATTAAACAATTAGCACGGCAACATTGCTCAGTACTAGAATACCAACCTGCAATTGCAAATGGAAGGACACAGATATAAGCAGCACATTGTAGATCTAGCTCTAGTGTCCAGGCGCCTCTGCTGATTATTTGGGTTATTCTTCCATGTTTGAATTTGTACTGATATCGACGTTGATGCAGGTGGCACTAAGCAGGAGACAATGCTTCTACCTTATCACGGCAGGCTCGCTCTCCCATTTCTTTTTGGATCACTTGTTTGAGGTGAGAATGTGCTCCAATGTCTCTGTGCCCCATTTAGTAGCACTTTATCCATCCAAAAAGGCGTCGCATGCTTATTAGGCTAATTTTTTTCGTCGTGTTTTCCTCTGCAGGAGAATGGGCACTCTACGATGTATACTTGGATTCTGAGCACTGGTTGGTGGGTAGGCCGTGCTCCTATCAATTCGGATGCAGTGGTTATTGTAGGCCTTCTTTGTATTTGCCTCGTGCTGGGGTTTGTGTACATTAACAGGTGTGAACTCTGCTTCATAGATGCACTATGTGTTTTTACATTATTATTAATAAACATCCCTGGCCTCGGCATCATGGATGCACACAGCCAACAAGTAGGCTATGTACATAGCTGTAAAGGAGATCTAGACACTTGACTAGAAAACTTGGATCCTTGCTGATGCTTTAGAAATTAAAAGTTTCTTACTAGTACCAGAATTTTGAATATCACTCTTTCTACCAACTAGTAAGTATACTGATCATGTTGCTAACAACATCTTGTTCTATGTTTTGGCAGAGTGAAGCATGAAAAATCAGCCACTCAAAAATCAAACCAATCTTTCTTCCTCATCGTGGTGATAGCTATCTTGTACTGTATGTGGTGTGCCACTCAGATATACCTGCGAAATCCACCTCAACCAGCCATAGGTGAAGAGGCTGATCTTGGAGTGATAATATTTGTTGCCATTTACCTTTTTCTCCCCCATGGCTTGTGTGCCCTGTCAATGAACCAGAATGATTATGCTGAACTGGAAGGGATCCAACTTCGATAATGTGCCATATGGTGGTGTACTTTTATCCTAATCTACAAAGAACATCATTTTTTGAAGTCTGCTCGCTCCTCCATGTTGTAATCATATTTATTTTCTAATAATAATTGGCTAATTGCCAGGGATTTATGTTTTCTCTAGTGCAAAAATACTTCTAGCGAAGACTTAGGAGTTAGGATTATGGAGTTCAGGATGATACTGGCACTGTATTATCAGTTGTGATAGCAATAAACTTCTATTGGCAGTGGTGTTCAAAACATCCCAGCAAGTTCTGTTTTCCACTTTAGAATATACATTTCAAAGTTATGATATGATTTGAAAAAGCTTACCCTGGACATTATCTTTCCTAATATGAGGCATGATTTCTTCTTATTAGGTCATACTATTTGCTTAGCTGCAATTATTGTGGTAAACTGTGAATCTAGATTTACTGTCTCTAGATCTAACATATATTAATTCTTTCTTTTTTTAATGCAAAATCTATTTACTCTTGCATAGATGAAAAGTATATCAGTTAATTAGTATATTTCCTGGTGTGTATCTCAAACACAGCTGAATTATGCTCACATAAATGCACGCAAATGTTTAAACATGTTAGTGGAAACACTAAGTTGCAGCCTGAACTCCTGAAGGATTGCACAGGGTACTATGAATGGGACTCGATGATGCTAATGCTGTTATGCTTATCGTCATCTCTCATGGAGATCTTTAGGGCCTTCTCAAGATGTGACACAACTTGCTCCATGGACGGACGCTGCTTCTTGTGTCCAGTGCATGAAAGGGCAAGCTTCAAACTGAGATCAAATGCCTCTGTCGAGTACTCTCCGTTCAGCCTAGGATCAGCAAACTCCAACACGTTGCCTTCTCTGATGAGCATGGAAGCCTGAGGAACGAAGGTATGGATATCAGATTCAGCACAACCGATCATTTAAGACGAATACTTAATATCCGGCTGACTGTTTATAATCTTACCATTCGATCCAATGACATTGGTTTAGCAGTGTTCATGATATTGATTGCTCGTTTTCCTGACAGGAGTTGTAGGAGCACCATACCAAAGCTGTAGACATCCCCTGCAGCATTTACCTTGTGATTGTGGCGATACTCTGGATCGACGTATCCAAATGTTCCTCTAACTTCGGAGCTTACGTGTGATACTCCTATGTCAATGACTCTTGACAGTCCAAAATCCGACAATTTGGGTTCCATATCAACCCCAAGAAGTATATTGGTTGGCTGTAACGGCACAAATGAGTTTGACATTGCTTAAATTTGCAGATGTACTAGAGTTTTCCAAATCATGCAACCAACCTTGACATCACGGTGAACAATGCAGCCTTCAGGATATATGTGAAGGAACCAAAGGCCACAGGCGCTGCCAAGTGCAATCTGCAGCCTCTGAATCCATGACAGGTTCTTATCCTTCCCTGTAAGCAAACAATTTATTTCTAGTAATTGTATAAGAGTATGTAGAACATGCTCTTGTTTGCCAAGAAAGGTACTCACCAAATAGCCATTCTGACAGGTTACCGTTGATACATAACTCATATACAAGAAAACATTCCTCCTGCCCATCGCAATAACCTCTTAGTGACACAAGGTTTGGATGTCTCACATGTGAGAGGCTTGTAACTTCCCTTAGGAAAGTTTCTGCATGCTCGTTCTTAACGATGTGCTTTACAGCAACAGGCCAGCCATTTGCAAGCACTCCTTTGTACACTTTCCCTGAAAAATCACATAATAAAGAAGATACATCCAACTTTCAGGGCAAGAAATAACCCGTTAAACATGGCTATTATCTTACATATCTCATTTTCTCACATCACAATTATGTATTGCATCTGCATGATGGAATAAGGATTTCAAGTCCAACTGACTAATATTGTCATTTACCTGCAATTCCCTGACCAATGACATTCAGTGGACTCAGGTTTTCAGTTGCGTCGTAAATCTCTTTGGTACACATCTGTTTGCAGGTAACCTCCTCATACTCAACAGATACAGCAGTGACCTCTGCAAGAAGGATGCATGAACTATATTGCGATATTACTGAGTAAAAGAAACCAGTATGTGCAAAGGGGTTGCATGATTAGTGAAATTACCAATATCTTTCTTGGATCGTTTCAGGTTGTGTGCTCTTCTTCTAAGATGGCACGAAATTGAAACTACCCCAACAATCACCACCGTGATGAGGCATCCGAGCAGTATTTCATATCCTGCATACAATTCTCAGGAGCAGAAAAAAGAAAAGATAATACAGGAAAGGGCAGAGGTAAGAGACACAAACCTCTATGCATTTAGCTTATCCCTTATGGAATGATGTATGGAAAGACAGGATTGTTTTTCTTTCAAAGTGATTGTTCTACCTTTATCAAATGAATATCATGGTCACTCTCCACTCAGTCGTTATTAGCAATGATGGCAAGCCATTGCCGGCCAAGAGGAAGGAAAGACAGAAGCCAAAGCACAAAATACTATTGGATCATATATGGTTGGTTCGGGTTGGGATTAGAATCCGACATCAATAGAACTTCTCATGTTAGTATACATTTTTTGGTTGCTTTGCATCATTGCATGGTTTCAATCCATTTTGTTCCCTTCTGATGATATTCTAGCTGATTAGTTTAGTGGCTCAGGAAATACATTAAGACCTTCAATATTGTGGACACTTACTAATGGGTTGTTGAGTCGCCCTAGGTCCAATAGCGGTTTCAGAATATCACAACCATTCTGTGATTATGTTAGCGGTTGTTGAGGAGCAGTAGACAAATGTGGCAACTCTATGCAATGTGGAAATATATGTAATATAAGCAAGAAACTTCCTCAACTTTGACAGCTTCATATCAGCCAAATGAGTAAAACAATAATGAGATGACGTCCATTTAGAAGAATAGCCACTGGAACAAGGCATCTTGGATTGGAGTTTAATGTTTTGTACACTTTACACCCCTGTTCTTTAGAAGCAACTTACAATGTCTTTTGTGGACAGTTAGTATTTTTTACTACTGTTTGGCCTGCTCTTGTCTTGATATGTTTGTTGGACATGTAGATCCTAGTTACTGCAATTGAGTATCCTAATTACAGATCAACAGAAGCACTCCACAAGCCTTTGACCAGTAGGAAATATGCATTAGTATTATGTTATGTGGTAGGCCCTTAAATTTGCATGCATGAGTGTTTAGGTAGTGGTCATGGGTTGGATTCCCACTTTCCCAGCCTGTAACCTCCTTTTCTCTGAATGCTTCACTATACTATTGAACTCCTATTTTTCTTATGTGCATTTCAAAAACATGTTAATCTAACTAGCCCAGTAATTTTCTATTATATTCTTCTGCATATTTTTCCTTTTTTTTTAATTTCAATATTTTCTGAAAATACATCCAACACATTTCAATAACATGTTAGCTAATGAGTCAAGTTCTTTTTTCGAGAAAAAAAAGAATTTGATACTGTATTTTTCTTCACTTTATTCTTTTTTGAATTAGAAAAGTTGCAACTTTTTATTGATGGCACTATTTTTTGGGGGACCGTTATGCACGTCTCAAATACCCATCTTAAAAGTCCTGTGTCCACAACTTCTAGGAGCCTGGGAGGTGTCCTACCATATTTCCTTAAAAAAGAGGAGAGAGGGAGAGGCTACTGCATGAGGTCACCAAACTCGCATCGACCAGACTTATTAGTGTGGGAATTTGATACCGATGTTTCAGCTGTATTAATGCGTTCAGATTTGGTACTGCTCTATTTCAACTTCAACAGTACCCAAACCAAGATTTGATACCATCTTGTTTCAACAGTATTATACCTTCGAATGCCTCTTCAAAGAGATATTCCTTAGCCAACAATTCCTCTTCACCTCTTGTTATGCATCTGAAAGTAACTCTGAAGGAATATCAAAAAAAAAAAAGAAAGTAACTCTGAAGCGAAGTACTTGCTTTATTGTTTTTTTTTAAAAAAAAAACTCAACTATAGAAATTGGGCCCTGTGAAAGGGTCCAGTTAATTAATACCCAAAATACGCTTTCATGGCCCAGTCGCAGGCACAAATTAATAAATCAACTTGCCACCTAACTTGAGCAGTTAGAATTCTTAAAAACTAAGAATGTTTCAGAGTAAATGGGAAGCATCTGTGATACTATTATTCCTGTAAATGAATGAGCACTATTCTTCTCTACTATTCTTCTCTTGTCCTTTTTCTAATAGTGAGGATCTTACATACAGTATCTCTGGTAACAACATTAATTCTTTTCCCTGTTTGGTCATCTATCTCATACTTTCTACGCCATATATTACCTTGTCTCAAGTTAAATTGCTGTTTGAGGAAAATCTAACCAAAATTTGTAATGTTTTTGTATTTTTACTACTATTATAGAATCACTTTCGGTGCATATGTTCACTTTCTTGGATTCTTATATATTAACATCCTTCAGTAAAATCTTCATATTAGTACAGGAAATAACCACCTTTCTATCTGGGTTCTTTCCTCTGTTAAAATTATCACTAGCAAATAGCTGGAAAATTTAAAAGCCCTTGCCTCTAAGAACTTCTTGCAATATTTTGTGCCCAGCTTCTCATGCGGTTTTCCATAAGCCATAGTTCTCTCCTGATCCCATGCATGCTACATATCATACACATCTCATGTCATGCTGACATTTTCTTTCAGATAAATCTCGAGCACAGGATAGCATGGATGGAACCTCCAGGAAACAGCTAGCTGACAGTCGCCTGATGATCATATCAACTAGCAAGATGCAAATTCAGATTGCGTTACAAGCCTCGGTTGAAATGAGCGGCAAGTGTTCACTGCGCAGCCTGGGATGCAGACTCGACAAAGACAATACGCCCCAAAGGTTTTCTCCCTTCGCCTTTTGTGATGCAACAGCACATCTGCCAATTATGGGTATGAACAATCTCACCTTCAACGGGAGATGGATAGCAGCATCATGCTTAGGGACTAAGCATGTACGTACGGACTACTAAAACAGCGTAAGTAAAGGTGAGGATATACATATGTCTAATTTCAGATCGATGATTATTGGCAAAACCTGTTCTGCAATTGGGCTTGTTAATTTATTTTAATTTAACAAAACGATCGATTCTTGTGCATGCTAAAAGTAGTAGTAGTATTATTTGCACAGCTTCGTATAGTCACTTCGTTTGTAAAGCCCAAGAAAACAAAGCTGCCCTTTTCTTTTCCTTTTCAAAACTCTTGCCCACAGTTGGTCACTACTTGCCAACTACTTTGGGGGCAGAAAAAGGAAAACCTGAAACAAGAGAATAGTACAGCATACTAGCCTTGATTTTTTTTTTCGCTATTACCTTCAGCTGTTCAGCTGGTATCTACTCCTACGTACCGAGTTAGATTCATCAATAGCCTCCTTCTATTGGGCTATTGGCTACAGATTTTGTGAAGTTATTATCGGCTTGTGCCATATACAAATTTTGACCAAATATTTGTTGTTCCTCAAAGCACGGTTACCTTGTACACAGGAACCTACACCGAAGTTCGTCGTTCCGATTATAATTTTTTTCTAAGAACCAATTAAAATTTTTGAACATAGTAACGGGATCAGGGCATGGAGCAGTTCATGCTTGAGATATCCTGCTTTTGATACCAATGTGATGATAAGCCAGAAATGTTTAATTTATACTGGGTAAACAATGAGAAATGCTAGCTGATGAAAGGTATCCACTAATCCACACCTTTAATTGACTGCTCTTATTGAAAGTGGAGCAAGCTAACCTTGCATGGCTCATATGTGGGGCAGCATATATAGTGCACCAAAGTACCAAACATAATGTCAGTGTATATACATACATGATTAATTCCTTCGATGTAAGCCAAATGAGAGGGGTGACTTAGTTATGTGCATATAATTAATACGATCTACATAATTGTGAAAAAAATATAATTTATTTTGACAATACAGATTATTCTTTAATTTATCACTGCAAAAATGAATGGCTAAACTCAATCGACACATGCAAGGGAAAGATAAATCAAATCCAGCTTTTTAGAATTCTCCAATATACGCAACCAAAAATTAACTTGGTTAGATGAATTTGGCCTTACATGCATGTTTGTAGAGTTACACCATTACATACTTTTCTGCAGGCATGCACCTCTAACATTTTCTAACCATTTGGATGTATGCATAAAATTAAGGAGGACACATACATGCCACTAAGTTGTAAAATGATTTTCCCTTCCTAAATCGTAATATATTTTAATTAACTACTTTATAACAGGAAAACAATTTTCTAAAAGAGGTCTTACCCGTTATACACAATTAACAGAGTGTTTTTACCGTGATAAAGAAGATATCATATTTTAAGAAGAAGAAGAAGAAGAAGAAGAAGAAGAAGTGTATAGTTTTTAAACTTATCTAATAACAAGGTACTAAGAGGTGGCACCACAGATTAATACTACAAATTATAATAGCTCCTTAAAGACCATAAAATCACTCCACATATATAATACAAGCTCACCACGAACAAATCGTTGTCTTCAAGAATTATGCATACATATTCTAATGATGAATAAATGTGTAGTGAGGCAAATGAACAACATGAATTTCCAAGTAAAAGAGTGTCAATTTTTTTAAACGAACCGGCGCGAGACTATACCAATTTCATTGAATATAATATAGAAGAGTTTTATATCCCCTATGCTAGGGTGAAACTAGAAAAAAAAACTATACATATGTAAGAAGGTTAATTAACTTAGAAAGGTGCTTTGCCCCAGCAAGAGCCAAAGCTTTCCTTCCTCTTTGATCATATAGCTAGGAGACCTATTTTCGTCGAGAGCTCTTTGTGTTGAAATGATTTTTTTTTTGTTTCGTTCGTTTCAAACTTCCCAGGAAACTAGCAGGGTTAGAGTGTAGACTCCTTTTCTCGATGTATGTTGGCCATAAATTCCGGCTACTAAGCCGCCAGCGCTAAACAGCTCTGATGCATGCATCCATGTTGCTATTAATGTCCAAATTTTTATACAGTAAAAAATATCAAATTGGTTGAGCTACTATTTATAAACGAAAGCAGTAGTAAAAAATGTTCTTTTTAACGTCAAACTTTTATACTTCTACTTTTAGCCGCTTCTTTGTTCCTCGATCTGTCCTTAAAAAAAAAGAGTCGACATAGGATCGAGGCCTCCTAGTACAACGAATCTAAATATAGGAGATGTCACATCCTCTCGTAGGCTGCCCTTTTTTAAGTCATAGGGAGTAAAATCACTAACAAAGAAGCGGCGAATAAACCCTCTACCTTAATAATATTAAAATACTTAAATTTAGCCGTGGCTTATAATAGCTGAAGGCCTACCGCGCGCCCTACCGATAGCAGAACACTTAATTAAGTTCATGCATCTTATCTAGATGCACGGTGCACCGTACCACCCCAAGATATTTCACGATATTTTCACGCATATGACCACACCCGGTGTGGACACATCTCACATGATGAGGATGAGTCGTCGTCGTTTGCAATTGCAATATGACCAGCTATGCATGTTAGTGTGACCACCAAAGGTAGTACGTCTCGTGGGGGACTCGCATTGACAGTGCTGTGTTGAGAGATACACAACACTATAGCTATCTACATAGCCTGCAGGACCAAACCCCCCAAACCCCGGTCGATCGTCAAAAAAACGCGAAAAAGCCACCCAAAACCGCGAGCGCTTTGCTGCTGCTGCTGCTGCCGCAAACCCTTTTTCCCCACACGAACACGGTCGATCGTTTCGATCACCAAAACCATCGTGGTCGTGCGCTCCAGATGATGGAACATCTACACGCTACCCCACGTCGGCTTTAGCATCTTATCCCATCGGTAGATCCGGGCCGTTCGATCTCGGCTTTTATCCCGATCGCGCGATCGGCGCCGTCCGATGCCGATCTCCCCGATCGGGCGCCTTTAGCTCTTGTATCTGGACCGGAAGAACCCTAGCTGTCTGGCTAAGGTAGCTCGCAACTACCGGCCTAAAGCATAGCTCTACTGTGTGTGTGTGTGTGTGTGTTCACTACTGGATAGTACACAATGCAAGAGCTAAGCTGCAGCTGCAAGCAGCCATGCAAGAGGGAGCCTGGAGCACAGCTGAGCTAGCTTCCTCTATAAATTGAGGTGAGGCCTCTCCTCACCTTCCTAAACACCAAGAGCTAGAGACAGCAACTCACCAACCACTAGCTATAAGCTTATTGCCCTAGATTAACATAGCTAATTTCAACTAATCTCAATCAGTGACAACTTTTATTAAGTAGCTTAATTAGTTAGTTAGTTAGAAGAAAAGGGAAGGGGAGAAAGCTAGTATATGGGAGGGAGGTCGTTCCTGTGCATCTTCAGCTTCTCGAGGAGGTCGAGGCGGTACTACGCCGACGACGAGGCGGCGGCGGTGAGCGACTGGGAGCGGCCGGCGGCGACGAGGCTGCGGAAGGTCCGGTCGAGCGACGAGGACAACGGGTGGTGGATCGGCGAGCGCGACGTCGACCAGAAGGCCTCCGACTTCATCGCCAGGTTCCACCACCACCAGACCAGCCTCGTCGTCTGAACTACTCCATCGATATAGCTAGCTAACTCGCGATACAGGACCGCAGCTAGCTAGCTAGATGTAGTATTATTATATATATTATTACATGTATAGTATATATGTTGTAATGTGTGTGTGCAATATATATATATATATATATATATATATATATATATATGCAGCTGGCTAGCTAGCTAGGGCATGCATGACATGAGATGAGGGCCGGAACTGCTATGTATGAATGTACAAATATAGTTTTAATTGTTTAATTAGCACTGCTGATGATATATAATAATAATAATAATAATGAATAAATATGTATGATATTGTTTATAGTATGTCTCCCATGCATGCATGGCCTTGTGGAGTTGTGGTCACCCCTCTCTGATCTCTCGATCTCCATGCATGTATATGGACATATAGATTGTAACCATGCATGCATGTCACGGTATTTGGTGGCAATTAATTAAACTAAACGCAGATTGAAGTTAATTATTAAACGCCGGGTTTGTTTAGCCCTTACATCTTATAGTTTGCACATGTGTGCCAGAGAAAGACCAAATTACAAATCAGAAGTTTATCTCTAAAACATTATTAAAACATTCAAAATATCTGAGTTACGTCAGGAAGGATCAAATATCTCGATCAGCTTCTGAAACAGGATATGCCTATTTGCTGATCAGTACTCAAACGTTCTGAACTAGCCTATTCATGAATAAAGTTTGCACCGTTTCAATAACAAGATGCTAGCCTGTCAATGTTTGTCTACTCACACAACTAGTCATTCTACATTTTACAAAGAAATAATTTGAGTAGTTACCTCCTTTATTATCTCAACGTATACATATACAAGAAAAACACACGGGGCTTTAAGATAAATATAATTAGTATAAACAATTGTACCATAAGAAATTATCGTCATCAAAGATATATATGCTAATTTAAAGCTACTCCATATAATCACATACTTATTCAATTTAATTATTTTCTGAAAATTCCATAACAAAAGCTAGCTACTTCCTTATTCCAAAATCTAAGCATTTCTAGCTCTTTAGCAAAACCTAACTTAGAGAGAAAATATCATCTTTTAGTCACTTCGGTGATATCAAATTTTAAATTTTGAATTGCTTAGATTCCCTTTCCAACTATATGAAAATGTATAGCTTTCTATGCATTGGAACCGGTGCCCCATATATTATGGTATAAATTTTGAATTCTAGAAATATTTATATTTTAAAATGGAGGGAGTAGTATATTAGCTAGATTGATAGGCACACCTTAATTATAACTGATATTACATGATACAACCACACATGCATGTTTAATTAAGCAGATGTGCATCTGGATTAATCCAACGTAAAATTAACCATGAGTAGTCAAATACCCCCCCCCCCAATTTTTAAATGTATGACACAGTTGAATTTCGGACATAAAATTTGATTATTCATTTCATTTAAGTTTTAGTGTAAATATGGAAAAAAAATATAAGTCATGCTTAAAATAACTTTAGTGATATAACCACAATAGAATAAAAGTACATAGTAACTTTAATATGACAAACGTTCAAATATGATGTAAAAAATCAACTATCATACATTTAAAAGAATACTACTCTCTCCATTTTCTTTTAATTGATACTTTCAACTATACACGCAAAATTAGGCTATATATCCATTATTATATTTTCTAGATATGACCATTTTACCCTTAGGATATTTCTTAATGTTGTGGATAGCATGTGGATAGATGTGGAAGTTTCTAGAATATAAAGTACTGTAGCTACTTCCTCCATTTAAGAATATAAGCATTTTCAAGATTTAAAATTTATACGACCATGATATTAAATTTCTCCGTAGTATGAGGTATGATTACATATTGATCAATAGGTTTTTTTAGGTACTCTCGAATGATTGTGAGTCATCCATTTTCTTTAATTAGATGCAATGAATATTATTTTATTATACTATATCCGATAATATGTGTAGTAGAAATTTTGTAAGGTTAAAACTAAAAATCAAATATATAACACTGTGATCAATTCACATGTTATATATATGGCACATTAAAATGGATGAATTGGTAAGGATACCTTACCAAAGTTTTGAATAAAATATTCCTGTACTCATGAAAATCGATCTATAGTTAGATTTAAATTAATTCTACCACTACTACAACAAACAAGTAATAGTAATATAATTTGGCTGATGATCGATGCACTAGACTGTTTTTGTTTAGTTGAGAACATTATATACCCAGCTAATTTTTCTCATATATACGTCGGCAGTAGTGCTGGCATTACGCTGTTCTTTCGACGGTCAGGAGATATTAACGCCACAGTAATTAATTAACCGAATACCGAGGACGTTTTTTTTTTTTTACAGTGTGCGATGCATGCTTCATGCTTAAGCACACAGTTAAAACGTAAAGTACATATGCATGAGCTTACTTGTAATTGCATGCAACCAACAGGATGTGACGAAGAAAAGCTTTGCACTGCACTTGAAATGGCTTCTACAGAGGAATGAGCTTTTTGTTGGGAAAGCAACTCAACTGGAAGCCTAGAAGAACTATTCGGCTCAGAGCTCTAGGTCTTTAGCAACTGAAAGTCACTCATCAGTGCTGCTTTGTTCTTGCTTTTCTCTTCTTGTCTACTACAAGATTATTCTCCATCATCATATATCACTTGTCTTCTCTCTCCTGTTCTCATCAATCTCATCTCTGATACCGTACATATGCGCATCCATGGTTCAGTACGTACTTGAATTTATACGCACACTGTACATCAATAATTCCGATATCAGTTAGCATCTGATATAAATCTTCCTTCTGATATTGACAAGTATCTTTTTGTTATGAGAAACAATGGGATAACAGTTGCATATATTGTAAGGTTAGGCAAAAATTGCTGTCTGGAATTTTCTATCCTTAACACCTACATATACCCTGAATTTTCTATCCTTAACACACCTACTCCCTCTGCCCAAGAATAGCACATATGAAGCCTGAAATTTATCCAATAATATAAACACATCCCGGCTTACTTTCTTACCCCAACTAACTTCTATGTAATTTTCGCATCTACTTTCACACTCACTTCAACCTCAACATATACTCTTTTAAAGACCCCAATGATTATGGTGAGAAGTGAATCTACCATCACCACCATCATTCACATGTGAATCTTCCAAATAGTAAGGCACCATAAGCTATCAAATAAGATAAAAAATTATAAAAATTATTATCTGAAGATTTTTACAATGAAAATAATTTTATTTAAATTTTTAGGCTGTATAGTGTACGGTGGGCTTCTGTTTTTAATTCTCGTTGTGTTTTTCATATTTTTATCTAGGCTTCAAAGTATATGGTGGGCTTTTCCTTTTTTGTTTCTGCACACGGGTATTCGGCCATTATACTCCAGATGTGTTTATATTATTCTTGGATGGAGGAAGTACACATACAAAATATCTTCAGTACTGTATATCCATGAGATATGTTAGGTAAGGGCCCTTCTCATCAATTTGGTAGCTTCCCCTAGATTGTTCCAATTCCTTGAGAAAGTTGCAGAAAATGTAGTCTGCTTATCTCTCGTCTCAGCATATGCGTGTCTTGTCCTCATCGTATTATCCCTTTAGTCCTAATTCCAAAGCACGAGCAATACAAACGTACATGGTGCAAGACGGACAGGGCATGAATCACCTTTACAAATGTCATCGATCGATTTGTGATTCCTGTATATATACGTACTTCTGAAACTGGTAGCTGTCTAGTTTACACGCCGTTGTCATCATCGTCTAAATAATTAAGCATGCGTTCTCAAATATTAACATGAAGCTGATTATATATACCAGATGATTATATTTTGTGGCAACTTGTCAGTAGGCATTCTGTAGTCTTGTTTTTTGCTAACTAAACTACTCGAACAGTCTTGATGGCTATAGCTCATGACCTAGCTAGTAGCTAGGAAGGCATTTCTGAAAAATTTAGGCAGAACAGTGTCAGGCCAAAAGCCCAAAACTCAGCAGTTTAGATATGCACACAGAAACTCCGATCGATCTGAAGTGCAGGACAAGCTTCATTCATTCAGGTCATAGATGCATGAACTGAGACCACCATGGCCTCTAAATCATCAGGAGAAAGCTAATAGCAAAGCTGAGAACGAAACATTGAAAGCTACAAATCAGTTTCCATTTTATTCCCATCAGTTTCCATTTTATTCCCCCCTTTGATCCCTGTGACCTGATCCTGCAGAGATAAGCATGGTTGGTTAAGCAGCCCAGAAGAAAGAACACAAAAAGCCAAACCACACCCTTCATTCCGGTGTATGACAGGTCGAGGTCTACATGCCAAAGCTCTGCCCTTTACACAACATTTTTTCTTGCTGGGAGAAGCTTCATCTTTGTCTCAAGGGTATATGTCCTGATTCTGCAGCCATTGCATGGCTTCCCAATTATTAAGGTCATGTCGTCTTCAGGACGGGATGTGTGTCTCTGACAGCAGATGGCCTTTTTTCTGGGTCAAGCCGCCGGGTCGTTCTCCGACTAACTGTCATGGAACCCACTTGGCAATCCACCAGTAATCCCCTGTTTGTGATCAGGTTTAGCAGTAATGCTGAAGTCATGCAGACACATCAGAGTTTACCAAGCAAATGCAGAAGAAAATGGCACATAGATAACACAGGACAATGAGTACTACAGAGAAGTTCAAATTTGAAAGTTGAAAGGTGTATAATCTATTCATACTTTGATACCTGCAGATTTATAGAATTGTAGCAGTAGGAGAAAGTTCAGTTGAAGAAAAATGATGAACAACGTGAAGAGACTAGTGCTTAGGTAAAGCAAAGCGATGCACAATTTGAAATGGTAAGGAGTGCTCGTCTCTAATTGTGATTTGCAAACTTACATATTGTCGCGGACCCAGCAGCAGCATAACTTCTGGTTTGCACGAATGAGCTGAATGGCTGATGGTATGTATACAGCAGAACACTGGAGCGACCTTATCCTGTAATCTAATTCTAATTGTTCTATTAACAATTTGTCTATGGAACAAAACCAGATGTAGTGCTTCTAGCAAAGACTACAGAGCGCAAGATTGTTGTCAAGTGAAATCCTTGGACCTCCGTGTTTCACATTCAGAAGCTTGATTTCTTCTGATTTGGTGGCAGTTTTCTCCTCCAAGCACCTAAATTTGCAGCCCCAAAACTCAGAAGAGTGCAGTATCCTTCACATGTACAGTAGAGACGCATATTTGCTCCTACACGACTATAACCGACATGTTCCCATGTACGTTGGCAATTCAAACACCATTTTGATTGCAGCTTAACTTCTTTCTTCCTGCCCAACAGAAACAAAAGGCCACATAAGGATGTTGCAGTTTAAATAAGATTGCAGGGACAAAAGGAGGAGCATGTCAAAAGGAATTCAAAGCTTGTAGCCTAATACTTACTGAGAAGATTTCACAGCAAACATTTAATGTGCTGAATTTTTCACTTGCTAATACCTTGTCTAAGGGAAAAGGATAGTACTATGCAATGCCACAGAATATATTAATAATGGCATGAATTGATATTTAATACTCCACATTATACAATCATAAACAGAAATCTACATATTAATGAAAGTATGAAACACAGCAGAGTATGTTAAGGACGCATACTACAAAGAAACAGGAGGTTCTCCAGCAGCTTCCTAATTGCTCTTAAATTTCTCAGCTACTTGGGAGACTCAGATAGTTTGATGGTGAGCACCAACTCACCCATGCATAATCTTAAGTTGCTGGAGGGTAGTGAGGGCATGCTCATATTTGAAAATATCCTCCTGAAAGCTACAGAGTGGACTGGGAACTGGCCAGTCCTTGGTTAGTGGTAACGAGTTACAACTGGAAACCTCCAAGCCTCATTACTGGACCTTACAACTGCAACAAATGTGCAAGATAAATCCTGAACTTAAACTTTGAAACTAGATTGGCTATATAGTAGCCAAATGACCAGAACGTAAGGTTTTCAACTCCCATCTATTCTATCTCTAATTTCACAAGCTAAAGATGAGTGCACTTTACACCTGTTTGTGATCCATCAAATGTAATGTTTGCAAACCTATGCTGGTCTCTACTAAGGAGTAAGGACTTGCTAAAGAAACTAACAAGACATATTTCATGTTCAATTAAAGAATTCGGAGTAGATTCAACTGATGGGGGATTAAGCAAAGCCTACTAAATATAAGTTTGATGAACATCTCAAATGATACCTTGCAAAGCCTCCAGTTAGCTTAATGTATGATATCCCATAACTCCTCCAATATCATCTGGGTTTGTTGGTCTATTTCCAGGTTTAGGTAACCATGGAAACAATTTAGTGAGGCCTTGCCTTTCAGAATCAGCATTCTCTTGTCTACCATTGACCCCATATTTCTCCCTCTCAATTGCATCCATAATATCCTCCCGAGCCACAGTATTGCCACCTGTAAAAATCCAAGATCAGTATATTCAATAGCAGATTTTTCCATCAGAATGAATTAACCATCCTTAAAACAACAAGAAAGTAGATAAAAGTCAATAGCATGTTTATTATGATTTCTCCAGTAAAATATCAAAATATGGTGAATTAAGTCAAGGCACCTAAAGGGAAAACATTTCAGTTGTAGTCTCTGAGAAGAATAAAGAAGGCATATATGGTCTAGCTTTCTAAACCTTGTAACTCAAAGAGCTGTTCAATGTAGCAATAATATTACTTGCATTAAGGTGATAAGTGAAGTACAAATGTACAACATAAATTTTAACCTACCCCTTCGAGCAGCTAGTAACGCAGCCTCATTCACAATGTTTGCTAGATCCGCACCAACCAATCCTGGTGTTAAACTAGCAACCAGATCACAAATTATTTCAGGATCCTCTTCCAAAGGAACGTCCCTTAAATGAACAGCCAAAATATTCCTTCGCCCCTCCAAATCAGGCACACCAACCAAAACTTTTCTTGAGAACCGACCAGGGCGACACAGAGCAGGGTCCAGTGCTTTAGGCCTATTAGTAGCAGCCATGACAATAACTTTCATGTCCGAGTCAAAACCATCCATCTCAGTAAGCAGCTGTTGATAGAGAAAGCAAGCAGTTCTTCATTCAGTAGTATCATTTGAATCAGAGGATAGATAAAATCAAGGTGCTAGAATCCTACCTGGTTTAAAGTTTGGTCCCTCTCATCATTAAAACTTCTACCTCGACTTCCACCCACAGCATCAAGTTCATCAATGAAAATTATAGATGGGGCAGCTTCTTTGGCCTCCTTGAATAAATCCCTTACACGGGCTGCTCCTCTTCCAACGAAAACTTCAACAAATTCACTAGCAGAAACAGAGAAAAAGGGAATTCCAGCCTCTCCTGCAACTGCCCTTGCCAGAAGAGTTTTCCCAGTTCCTGGAGGCCCAACAAGCAGAACACCCCTGGGTAATTTAGCTCCGAGCTTCTTGTAGTTCAGTGAACCATGCAAGCAACTCACTACCTGCGTTAGAAAATTGCAATCTGTCACATTTAATACATACTCAATTATTTCTAGCGAGGAAAATTAAGAACATGGATATTAATTGAAACTGATGCATTAGTTATTAACATTCCCGCAATCATCACGAACTTCAGAGTTGAGAGTTAAAAAATGGAAGTACTAGTTATCTATCCAACTGTATATTACTGTTTTATACTTCCACTTTCTATCATATATATGTATTTATATTTCAGATATCCTCCCAGTCCCAGTATTTTTGTTTTCAACTGAGGATCCACAAAACAAATATGGAGCAGATATATTTTCAGATAATGGAATGGAGCAGATATATGGTTCCTACAACAAAAACAATGTAAAATTTGCAGCACAATCAACAAAATGATTCTTGAATCTACATTTAAGCTTTCAAAACACCTTGTTGACACATTCCTATGTCCTACACTCCACAACTTCCTCTCATCAGTAGAACAACATGACATGGATCCCAAACCCATTTTTCTATTTCCCATCCACCCCACAAGAGAGAAGCTAGTTCAGATGGCACTACTGAGGTAGATACAGTAGCATTAGCATGTATAATAATGAATCATGAGCAAACCATAGCTACCTCGATTATCAACCTAGATATCTGCATTATCAATAGCAAGCCATTCAATAAGTCAAGCAAAGATAAGCAGTCCCAACATTTGGGTATAAATAATTTGCATTCCCATTCATCCCCCACATTGTATCATGTCTACTGATTGTTATCTATGCACACTCATCAAAATCATGAGTAAATCAGTAGCCAGAGAATCCAGATTCACCTCGACGAGTTCCTCCTTGGCCTCATCGACGCCCTGGACATCGTCGAACCCCACTCGCTGCTTCCTCGGCCGGCGCCGCTTCTCTGCGCCGCCACCGGCGGACATCTGCCGCTGTATGAACCACATCATCGGCAGCAGCGACACCCACAGCGTGAGCAGCGTGCTCAGCATGTCCACCAGCAGCCTCCCCGCCGGCCGCGGCGCCGACCGGTAGTCCACCCCGCCGTCCCGCATCAGCCCCAGCAAGAACCCCTCGTCGTGCGGCACCCTCCTCGCGTAGCACGGCCACCTCGCCGCCGCCGCGGCGCCTCTGCGGGCCTCGCCCGCGCCCGCGCCGGCGTCGTCGCTGCCGCCCCCGTCGTCCGCGGCCCTGCGGAAGTAGATGCGGCGGGAGTCCTCCTCGAACGCGACGGCGGTGACGGCGCCCGCGCGGAGGCCAGCCAGGAGGTCCGAGTAGGCCACCTCCTTGGCCGCGTTCTTGGGCAGCGCGAGGCGGGCGGCGAGGAGGAGGACCGCGAGGACGATGGGCGCGGCCGCGGCGGGCGGCACGCGTCGAGCGGCGCGCCGCAGCGCGGCCGCGGCGTCCCCGGGGAGGTCCCGCGGCGACAGCCGCCGGAGCCGCCACCACAGCAGGCGCAGCCGCGGCCGGAGCCGCAGCCGCATCCTCCTCCGTTCCGGCTCGCGGAACCCCAGCCCGGCCTCCTTGTCCTCGTCCACCTTGGCGCGCACCGGTGCCCTCCACCGCAACCGCATCCCATTCCCACCGCGAAGCAACCCGCGGCCATTGCTCGCGGCGAGGCAGCTCCAAGAACCGGGGGGGCTCACGAAGCAAACCCGAGCGCGCGGGACGGAGGCAGCGGCAGCGCACACGGGGGACAAGCAAGCCGCCGCCGCCGCCACCACGGCAGCCATGCCAATCAATCAAGCTCTCTTCGGGAAAACCCAGCCGCTACGCCATTCGATCGGAGAGGACGCGCGCGCGCGAGGTGTTCGAAGGAATTACCTACGGAGAAGAGAGGAGGATTGCAGCGGCTGCGGTGATTGGATTGCGCACTTGAGGCTTGAGCGACCGCGACGTCTGCTGGGTGATGCGCGAATGGTGAGGAAGATTAGAGGGGAAAATATTTTTTTTGTTTTGTTTTTCATTTTTATCCACGAGTTGGAGGTTATGGGGGCCTTCCTGATGTTACTGGATGGGCTGCGGTGCTGTGCTGGGCCCTATTGCGGCTACAGGCTCGGTTTAGCCTTGTGCTTGTGGCCTTGGCCCAAGCTCCTTCGGGGCCTTGGGGATGCCGGATGGGAGGATTAGTTCACTTTGACTTTCTTTACTAGTGAACGAATCTTCTTCGTATCCCTAAACCGCAATACCGATATTTCAACCCCCAACTATTAAAACCAGCGCAATTTGACTCCATCAGCAGTTGTGGGTAACGGTTTCGCTGATGTGGCGCCTATGTGGCAATGTTGAATCGGTCTCCGTTCCACGTGAAGTTGACGTGACGCTTATGTGTATTAGAATTAAAAAAATATGTACGAGACCCATTTGTCATTCACACAAAAAAAATATGGAATCCACTGCCATGTGGGTCCACAGGTCCTTCACCTACCACTCCCTTTATTCCTCTCACCTCGTTTCTTAGCCCAGCAGCGGTGGCGGCGGTCTCCTCCCCAACGGCGGTGGTAGCGGGTTCCTCCCCAGCGGCGTTAGTGGCGAGCTCCACCCTAGCGGTGGGGATGGAAGGGTGAGGGCGCGGTGGTGGAGCTAGGAGGTGAGGCGCAAGACATCCACCTCAATGTGGCCAATCTCGACATCGATGTCGCAGCCGATGGCTACATCAACCTTGGGACGGAGATGCTCCTTGTCGCCCTTGCGGACAGCTGTGACGACGGGGTATTGGGGCAGCCAAGATGATCTAGAAGACATGGAATCATCGAAGGTGGTGTTGTTCCAGACATAGACCAGCGGGATGAGCAGGTCCCCCTCGTCTATGATGGCTTGGTGGAAGGCGTCGGGCGTCAAGTAAGATGGGGATAACGCTCCACGCTGAAGCTCGTCGTTATCGCTCCACTTCGTCAGTGGAAGGCGTCGCTGGAGACCACTCCTCGCTTCGCGCCACCGTCTCAAGGGCAAGACGTGTTGTGGCTCCGCCTTGAGGACGACGAGAGGTAGCTCCGCCTCGATGCCGCGTTGTCGCCGCTCCGTCTCAAGGCGGCGCCCGCCCTCCTGCTCGCTGCCGTCGCTCTGGCCCTCAGCCAACTGCCTCGGCGTGCAGACAAGGAGAAAGAGGAGAGAAAGAGAGAGAGAAGTGAGAGAAAGGGAGAAGGAAGAAGGAAAGAGGATAGACATGTGGGTCCCACATTATTTTCGTGTGAATGATGAATGGGTCCCGTGCATATTTTCTACGGAGGGAGTGCGTAGTACTAAATAGTATTATACTTTTCTCTCTATATATCTGACAATAAAAAAATGATGTAACATCATAATCTATTAAAAAGTGCCACACGGAATTTTTAATGATGAAGTGGTACTCCCTCTCCCATAAAAAATGAATCTAGATGTGGCACATCCAATACTAGTTGATTCTTTGTTGAACGGATGAAATAACTAGTAAGAGACAGAGGAGAGAGAATAATAATATTGGTTGATTACTACTCCGTAATAGATATGCTTAATGCCATACATGTAGTATATCCCATTCCTTAGCAGAGCGTGGAGGTAGAGTATGGGAGGGGTACCCAGGAACCCGGTCAAGAAAATTTTTTAGTTATAACTCATCGATTTTCACCATGTGTATATCCCCTCAATACAAACTTACGCACACGCATCAACTTAAACTTGATCTAAAGTAAAGTAAATTAAGTAAGAGCAACCCTCCTCCATTACACATACTCCCTCCGTTTCAAAATATTTGACACCGTTGACTTTTTAGCATATGTTTGACCGTTCGTCTTATTAAAAAAATTGTGAAATATATAAAACTATATGTGTACATGAAAGTATATTTAACAATGAATCAAATAATATAAAAAAATAAATAATTACTTAGTTTTTTTTAAATAAGACAAATGGTCAAACACGTACTTAAAAAAAGTGGTGTCAAACATTTTGAAACGGAGAGAGAGAGAGTATTACGTTGCAAGTATATATGTTGCTGTACATTGTGTAGATGACTTGGAGGAATTATAGCGCCCTGTTTCTTTCAAGCCAATGATTTGGTCCGCGTCACGTGGCGACACATCCAGTTTTCTCAACGACACGGTCTCGATCACAATTCATTTTCCTTCCTTCCGTCCTCACGTATCGATGTCTTCGTGGCTGGCTGCATCTTCGCTCGCCACACCCATCACCGCCCCCCCCCCAACCACCCCACACACCGATACTGACAACCTCCCCGCCCCCACCCCAAGGGTGGGAGGTCAGTGCAACAGAAACCATCAAACCAGCAACGCCGTCTTTCCCCAATCCCCAGTTTCCTGTGTGGGTTTTTTTTTTACATTTTAGCTCTGCTTGAAAACTTATTACAAATAGTAGGTTATTTTGATTTTTTTAGTCAAACTTATTTAAATTTGATCAGATTTATAAAAGATAGTATAATAATATTGTTAACACAAAATAAATATATTGTCAAAATATATTCAATGTTATATATAATGTAAATAATTTGGTGTTGTGGTTGTTACTAAATTTTTATATAATTTAATCAAATCTAAAGAATTTTGACTAGAAAAAAATGAAATGACTTATAACATGAAATAGAAATAGAGAGAGTAGATCTGTGGATAAACTAATTTTAAAATAGACTATTTTCCTCAGTGCCAACATTATTGGGTCACTAATAACACTGGCACCGACACCCCTTTATCCTCCGTGGTAGCCATTTCATTGACATGGAGAGGATCGGTGCTAAAGAGGCTAACACTGATCCCTCTACGGCTCTACATCTCGAACGCTTGGTTGCTAAGGAAGCGAGGGTGTCTGCGCTAGTATCATTAACGATGAAATGTTTCACCCCGGTAGCATCGAGAAAAATGCCCACTTAGTAAGGTTGTGCTCAGATATACCAATTCCTAACTTATACTTTCTCGTTTTTTCAAACACACGCTTACCAAAGTGCTAGTAAGTTGTTTAAAAAAAATCATATAACCCATTTTTCAATTTTATTTTAATTACTTATTTAATCATATGCTAATAGCTCGTCCTGTTTTAAGTAACCATCGTATCCGAACATAACCTAAGTTTAAGTAGGAGTTTATTTACAAAATAAAGTTTTATAGAGACCAAAGTGTAAAAAAATATCTAGTGGTTACATTTGCACAGCACCAAAGCGCATCTGAGGAGGTAGGCCCCACCAATGACATGTGGCCCCCGCGGCAGCGCATCGCGACCTTCCTTCTTCCTCGTCGGTCTCTCCGTCCTCCTCCAACCGGGTGGAGGGGCCCACGCGGCGACGAGCGGCAGATCCGGCGGCGTCCAGCGGCGCGGCGGAAGACGGCTGCGGCGACGACGCCGTCGTCGACGGTGGAGGCGCAGCACCGGAGCTGCCCGGCCGCGGGCCCCGCCAACGCCACCGGCGCGCGAGGGGGGCGAGCTTCGGGAGCTCCGCCCGGAGGACGGCGGCGGCGCCGAGCGGCGGATCTCGGGAGGCTCCCCGAGCGCCCCCTACTCCGGCGAGCCCCACGCAGCGACGGCGAGCTCCCTGACGGCTTCTCGCTTTCTTGTTTCTCGTGGAGTTGCTTTTTTTTTTTTCTGACAAAAGTTGCTGAGGTTCGTGTGGCCAAACTTGGTCACGCGAAGCTGTTGGGAAGGGTCCCCACTCCCCTCTCTCCTCCAGCCACGTGGCGCCTAGCCCCGCCGCCTACGTATATAAAGCAACTGATGCGGGTGGGAGTCGTGGGACGCCCCCATTTTTCCCATCGCTTTTGCTTTTGCTGAGCGCAGATCCTTCGCCAATTGGGCGCTAATCAGGCGGGTATTTTGGATATTTAGGTTTAGGGAGGAGGAAGAGGAGAGGTGGTTCATCAGGTAGAAGAGGAGAAGGAGGATGGCGAAGGCGACGACGATGGAGGGGCGCCCGGCGAAGATGGGGTTCCGGATGCCGGCGGAGTGGGAGCCGCACGAGCAGTGCTGGATGGGCTGGCCTGTACGTACTTCTCCCTCATCTCTCTCCCTCTGGTTCCTCATCTTTTTTTTTTCTGTTTAATTGTTCTTCGCTTCTCCGTTTGGATTCTGAATTCCGATGGATCCATCCTCGCGATTTTTATCGCCAACCAAAAAAAAAAAGAAAGAAGAAACAAGTAAATCCTACCGCGTCGTGTAGAATTTGGTTTCCTCCCAAGTGAATGGATTTGATGGATGGCCGCGCGCCGCGGTCTCGGGATCAATCCATCCCATCTAAAGTGCACAGAGCAATTTGGGGTATTGTTTATTTCTCGTCAAGTTGGAATCTCTGAATCGGTACTAGCTTACGAGCATATTTTAGGCTGGATTCTATCACCGCCTCACCGGAACATCCACAACTTTATTACTCTTGATTTGTAAGCACATGGATTACTTTTTAAGTAGGCGGCTACATTGGTTGTCCAAACGACAGTATCATTTTTGTCTTAAAACTATTCAAGAATGATTTTTTTTTTCATTTTTTTAGTACAAATGAATGAATCATTTCCCCTCACGCATAAATAAAGTTGTAATTTTGGGACCATCACGCTATTAAAGCTCTACTGTTCCCTATCCCTGATTGACTCAATCTATAAGTCATGACCATCATTTTCTTTGCTGTCTGATTTTTCTGATGTACGATTCTAGAGATATTTACCTGTCTTGTCTTGGTTCACGTTGCTGTGGCACATTGCTTAAACACTGGCACATTGACATTTTCTACATATATGTATTTTATAATCATGAATGATCGTTTGATCATTGCAGTGACATCTGTGGACTACTCTACCCTGTACATGCCCTATTTTGTCTTGTCTAATCGCTGTTTAGTATATGTAACTCCGAAAGGGAGTGGTTAGGTGGAATATCCACTTGACAATATCAATAATTGTCATTTTGGACTGTGGTCTTGAATATGAAAAGCAGACTGTATCCATTTCATCTATCTTCTTCCCCAATCCTTGTTCTATACTACAGTGAGCATTTGGTTAACAGTGAGCATTGTTCTTTTTACTTTGAATCCCAGGAGCGTCGAGACAATTGGCGAGAGCTTGCTGGTCCAGCTCGAAAAGTATTTGCAAGAACTGCTATTGCCATTTCAAAGTTTGAGTCTGTTACTATATGTGCAAGTGCCAAGCAGGTAACAGATTTTCTCCACATTGCCTCCTATGATCTGTGTTGTGAATTGTTGCACGATCATGTCTGATTGCACAGTGGTACCAATTCATACTTTTGTTTCATGCAGTATCCCTATGTCCATGAGCTAATGCTACATCAACCAAACATCAGGGTGGTCGAGATGAGCATGAATGATTGCTGGTTCCGTGATATTGGTCCCACTGTATGCTACTTCAAGCCTTCTTATTCCAAATTTGCTCTCCAGTGTTTGGGTTGCTAACAGTATCCCTGTTTTTTAGTTTATTGTTCGTAAAGGTGCACCAGGGTTAGGAATCACAGAAAAAAATATAGCAGGAATTGATTGGGAATTTAACGCCTGGGGAGGTATGTTGTTCTTATATTGAGTAATATGTTTATTCAGTTCTTTCTCATGCTATTTATTTCAATTAGATTGTTTGTGTGATGAAACATTTTTCTTCACAAATTAAATCTTTGTGCTTGTGTCTGTTATTAACAGTGTGAAAAGCGTACATTATCAAGACATGCTAGTTTCTTTGCACCTGCTCCGTATGAAGATTCAGTGAATTGTGCTGCTAATGCCTGCAGGAGCCACTGATGGTTGCTATGTTGATTGGAGCCTTGACAGCTATGTTGCCAAGAAAGTAAGAAGAGAATAACCTTCTTAAAGAAAATTTGACATCTTTCAAGGTCAAAAAGATCTTTTGCTAGTCTCCATCTGGTCTGAGAACTAGTTCTGTTTTGGACATTGATTTCAGATAGTTGAGATTGAGAGGATCCCTAGATTTCCACACACGATGGTTCTTGAAGGTGGAAGCATTCATGTAGATGGAGAAGGTTGTTCATGTGTTGAATCTTTGCTGACAAGCATATAGTTTCAGTATATTTGTTGGTATCTTGCTAATGAATTGCCATATTCCAACAGGTACATGCATCACAACAGAAGAATGCTTGTTGAATCCTAACAGAAACCCCAACATGACCAAACTAGAGATAGAGAATGAGCTGAAGGATTTTCTTGGAGTCGCAAAGGTCATCTGGATACCTCATGGGCTTTATGGTAACCACCAAAAACATTCTGTCACATAAAGGTGTAAAACCATAATAGTTCTGTTCCCTGCTTCTTCAACCATTCTACTGATAAATAGGCCTGCAATGGTTTCTCTAGGTGATGATGATACAAATGGTCATGTTGACAATCTATGCTGCTTCATTAAACCTGGGGTGGTCCTCTTGTCATGGACCGATGATGAGAACGACCCACAGTACCAAAGGTCCGTTGATGCACTCTCAACTCTCTCCAAGTCCGTTGATGCGAAAGGACGGCAGATAGAAGTTGTGAAAATCCACGTCCCAGGGCCTCTGTACATGACAAAGGAAGAGTCAGAGGGTGTTGTAAAAACAGTCAGTATTTCTGTCATATTCATTACTAACTTCAATCCATTGAAAATGAGCGTGTTCATCCCTTTCTAAGAATGAATAGTCCTTTTTTTTTCTAGGAGCATGCTATACCGAGGGAACCAGGCACGAGATTGGCTGCCTCGTACGTAAACTTCTACATAGCCAATGGCGGAATTGTAGCACCAGCTTTTGGCGACAAGTGGGACGAAGAAGCGTGTGCTGTTCTTCAGAAGGCATTTCCTGATCATGAGGTGATCTTCACTGACCCATTTCACTTCGAAACTTTATCCAGCGATGCTGTGATTTCTGTCTGTCAGCGACCACAGCTCAAGCAAGCAGTGGCTGTTGGTTGTTACTCGGCAATGGCTACGACGTCAGAACTCAAAACTGTGCTGGGTGTTCTGACGGAACCCGTGAATTTCAGGTGGTGATGGTGGAAGGCGCAAGAGAGATCGTGCTGGCAGGGGGAAACATACACTGCATCACGCAGCAGCAGCCTGTACGCCCGTCGTAGATGATACTGCGTATATAGTATTATGAATTTGGACATGGGACTAGTCCAGATTCGTAGTACTATATGTCCAGGGAGTAGATGGCACTATAGCAGCCATGCCCTATCGTGAATTCGTGATAAGCTACATCATTTGCTACCCAAAATGGCGACCCGATCATACACCATTGATTACCCAAAACCAAATGAATGAATTGATAGATTACCCAAAACCAAATGAATGAGTTGATAGAATAAGGCCGCAGACAAACATTGTGATTTGTGAGCTTGTGTGTAGGGGATGTGGTTGCACCAGCGTGATGGATATGGTTGTAAGTTGCAGTAGTGTAAGCACGTTGGAAACTGCCTTATGGCCTTTGCCAACGTTGACCAGGCGAATGGAAATGAAAATGGCTTTGAGGCTGTCTCGGTGAAACAAGTATATATGCAGGAAGTGGAAACAATGACATGAGAGGCCCGAAATGAACTTCCAAAACAAAATTTCTACATTTACATCGGGATTCTTACATGGACATGTAGGTTGAAATGTAAACCTTTCGGTGAAATAACCTATGGTCTATTGAGCAGTCTAAACTGCAATTCTGTTGCATCAAAACCAAGCGCTGTACCACAATGATACATGGACCAGTGGACCACCTCGTTCCCAACATGTGAACAATGCATTTTCCGGCCACCTGCAATAGCAAGATATTACTGTCAGGCACGTTGTTGTCAAACATGACAAATCTACCTAGTGCTCCTGAGAAACTCGTGTGTTTATGGCAAATCGTAGACCGTTTGGGAAACATAGGATTAAGATAGAATCGAAGTGTGAAATTAATCTTTGGGTAAAGTACAGACCTTCGTAAAGTGTTGGTAACAGCTGAACAGCAGAGGTGTATACTGGAGTCTGACGCAGGTCGGATGGCACATATCCTTCTGCCCCTCACCAGTCACCATGTCCACTCTCCATCTTCACCTTCAGTTCGTCAAAATTTTCATCCCGTGCAGAGTAAGGTTTCACATTACGGCAGTACCTATCATATGGGATGGAAGTAAGTTCATTCGTTTTTTTAAAAAAAAACAATAAATCAACATAATTAGCAAACAATGACGAAGGAGCCCACATACCATTAGTATTTGGTACTATTTACGTGGTGCTTGAAAACCCTTCCAGCTCACTTCTGTCCCAGCAGTTCAACTGCAATGCTTTCGTCTTTAGTTGCTCAAATGCAAATCTTAACTTCTGCTTGTCCTCATATGTTACATCAAGAACATTAGAATCCTGCAGCAAGTATTGAATAGAGCAAACTCATTAGGAAGGCCAGTTTCACAACAACGACATTTAGGCATAATAGAGCAAGCTAGTGATAGTGATCTAGGTACAGCACAGGACAAATATTCTCTCATAGTAGGAACAAATTCAACAAACTAGTCTACATACGATTCACATGCACAAATGTTCAATTTTGCCCTTGATATTCTGACCTCCCTGAATTTAAGATTAATATGAAAAATGACTAAAATGTAGGAAACTGAAATCTCATCAGTTAATATGGCTACCAAACAAAGGCATTTATGTTATCACCACTTACCATGAGATGCCTTGTATGTTGCAGGATACCTTTAATAACACATTTGCCCAAAGAAAGGTTTTTATGGAGTTTTCCATCATTGCATAAGAATATGAGTATAGTTGTGACAACACAAATTCGATGTGAAAGCTCTCCTGGGTAGTTTAACTTGGATGCAGATGAAAGCACGTGGTCATCTCCTGTTGCGAAAGATTTAAGCATCTCCAATGCGCAGCAAAGAACCTTCTCGTTCTGGCAAAATATGATTATGCAAGGCTTTATAAAGTATTGAAATAGTCTTGTCCTATCAGATTGAAAGCCAAGCTCAATGGTTTTAGACAAATCCTGCATGTACACAATAAAATTGGGTGAAATCAATTCTCATCAAAACCCAAAAAAGTACAGCGATAAAGCAATGCTTATGAACTAATCAAGGAGATGCGCTTCTAATTTATATGACAATGAATTAATGCACCTGTTTGCCAAAAGCTTTGCAGGTGTCAAACTCATAATTACCATCCATAAGCTAGTGTAACTGAAAAAAACGTTTATGCCGTAATGCATTCAATCTGACACTCTGCGCTTCACCAGGTGATGTGAAGAGCTTATTACTCACGATACTCTCCCTATGCTACCACGTAAATATGCTCTGTTAGTGAACTCTCATAGTTTTCAAAGAATATGCATAAAATAATGTTAGATCCGATTATATCAGATCTATAGGCAATAGGTTTTCTAACATCAAAATACGCCAATCTGCCATTTTCGACTAATCTGCCATTTTCGACTACGTTCTCCTGAATTAGCGTACAAATTTACCAAATTACTGACTGCAAATACCAGAGTCCAGAGCTTTAGAATTCAGAAGAGTACACACCATAGCAGCATCAATCAAGTAGCCAGCTATAATTTTTATAGCATCTTCGTTCATGAGCTTACAAGTTCCTGCATCAAGTGTGACAATAATTCTAAACAATCCATTCATGTTATGTAAAGATGGTATCTGTGCCTGCACAAAACAAACATATATGAGTTCAATGGATTTTGGGTGAAAACATAAAAACATAGCATGGTTTGAATCCTCACAATCTCTTTAGATAAATTATCCCACATTAACTCAAGAACCAGGGAGCCATCACCCATTTCAGATAGAGAATTTAAAATTAGGCGGTTCAATGATTTAAAAGTATTCATATTTGAGCCCTTCTGGGAATTATCCTGGGTAGAGAAAGACCCTAGTTTAACAAAACAAAAGGAAAGCTGTTAGAAAAAAATGTCAGATAAAATAACCATTAGAGGATAAAACTTAAAGAGCAAAACACATAGTATGAAATTTTCACCTAAAGTAAGCCACTTAAACTAAGAAAAGTTTGCCTTCCAAAAAAAAAAGTACTCACCAGGATGAACTCTGAATCGTGCCATTAGCAATGACAAGAAACTGAGTTGCTCTGTTATATGTAAATTCCCAGCCTTGTATGTTGACTGTAGAACCTCAATAATTCTAAACAATATGGTGGGTTCCAGCACATCACCTGCATTCCATAAATTATGTACCACCTGTAATCCTTAAAGGAAAGAATATAACGACACTAAACGCAGAACAGAGAAGCAAAAATGCATACTTAAGCAACAAGAAGCCAACAGCTCCATTGTGTCGGGAAGCAGGTTGGAGAAGTAATAAAGGCATGAAATGGCAAGTTCTTGGCAATCACGTGGAAGGTTAACGAATGGACCAAGCTCTATGGTTCCTGATGATGCTATTAGCAAAATGTCATTAGTCCAAGAAAAATGGAATTACACATAAAGCGATAAATCATAGAGGATAAAAAAGATCTTCAACCAGTAATTTTATACTTACATTTAACACCAAATAACTTAATGAAGGAACGCAGATTTCCAAACTCCATTGTGGGGAAGTACTGTCCAATTCTTAGAAGTAGCTCCAAAACAACCTATGATAATTCATATGATCATAAAGTACACTATTTATTGAAAAGGTTTCATTAATGCCCAATCTGAGTATTCCAACTCTATACTGGATAAATAAACCTATAGCAGACCTTTGTTACTGAGGGGGCTTTGTCAATTGATTGTAGTAGAATTCCAGGTAGCTCTTTTACCCACACACCATGGTATTCAGAGCCTGAATCATTTTCCACAAATAATATTCCTGTTTTTTCCTAACCACAGGCAAATGAATATTAATAGAAAGCATATGTAAGCCGTTATCCACTAGCACATTTTTGGCGCTAGTAGCTGTAGGGAGGTAATTCTCAGCATGATGAAATATGCAAAATTATTTAGTTTGAGGCTTTGAGCATCTAATAAGGAGGAATGCAAAGTCCTCCAGGAACAAGTTGAACATACGATCTACCAAGTGACTTAACAACCTGTAAATTTTCAAATCTCAGCATGGATGGTGTTTGGGGACAGCAAGTTTTGCCTTGTTTGATTATATCTATATTCATCATTAGACAAAGGTTCTCTTTTATGTTTCTCTATACAGCGGTTTAAAGATTTATTTTGGAATTTCATGTGATATAAATTGGTACAAGGACTATTCACCATCTTTTTTTTTAACTAATAACTAATTTGACAACCCACCAATGTTCATGCAGGTACATGAACTAACATCACCATCAAATGTGGTTCCAGAATCCAGATTCGAACACTGAAAATTCAAATCAACCTACAGATCTTCATACCATCACCCAAATCTTCAAGCACTTACAGTTATAATAGTGCATGTAATGCATGTACATGTGGAGATGCATTTCTCCCTAAAAGATATTTGTGTGTTAGCACCAAGTAGGCAATTTTCACTAGGCATGCTCTTCATCAAGTCCTATTTCTTAATAACCTGAACACGTCACCCACAAAAAAAAAAAAAAGAAAAAAAGAGAGAAGAAGTTATGTAGCAAAGGAAGTTTAGTATGTATCCCATAGAAGGAACCTACAGGAAACAGCATTTTTCCCACTGCATCCAAATATGGGAAAATCAGCTTGCAATCCACCTTGCAATCCCAGAATGCATCTGTAAATGCCTGCAGTTGAATATAGTCTCTCATTTTTCGTAACGTTAAAAAGTAACCCAAATACTTTCTAGAGATCAGTAAAAGGAAAATTAGTCATACCTCTAATAAATATCCTTTTGAGTCATCTGGGGCATTGGATACAAGATCTGGTATGAAAGTTATAAGTGGGCTCAAATGCTTTTCCATGGTATCCTTATTGCGAAGTGTTTTTGCCTGACAAAATAAATGAATAATTAATAGCTGTCTATAAGACGATAGCTATAGAACAACATGCACAAGCGGACTAAAGAACTTTCAACTAGCCAGTGATAGAAATCAGTCCTTGAAACTGGCAGCCACAGACAACCTTTGCAAGTAGAGAAGATACAAACTGGCAAAATTCATCAGCTGGAAATATGGTGTTGTCCATACATGCACTCAAGCACAAAAATATTTCAGCAATCTTCAGATTGAAAACATAATATCTGTCATCTCCCTGCCATGAAAAGAGTTCCATAAGAAATCACTGAGATTGTCAGCAAAAGATATGCTATAACCAGGCTTTCTGAAGAACACAATTAACAGTCTGGAATAGAACAAAATCTGAAATTAATCTCCAGCCAGGGTTCCAAAAGTTTTGATACCACAGAGAGTCAGATATCACTATGAGTAGAGAACACAAAAATGGCATGCTTTATCTATTGGTTGATCATATTAGTAGCATATTTTATCTATTAATTGGTCACGAAACGTTTTAAATATTATCATACCAGTAGTATGGAGGTAGAAATGAAAAGGGGAAGAAATTGAAACCTTTTCGTGGAATGAACGGTTTACTCCCCACAATTTCTTTGCATATACTAACACGGAACTTTTCAACCATTCAGGTCCAACCTGAATTTTGGATCTTCCAAATTTCATCTGAGGTTTCTTTACCTCTTGAATACATATGTTACATATTAGATCCAGACAGTGAAGAGCTGATAATAATGCTTCACTTGACTGAGCATCAATAGTTGACTTTGCAAAAAGTTCTGAAACTGAGACCTCTACAGAATTAACGAGAATCTGGAAGAGGTTTTGAAGCTTCATTAATATATTGGACATCGCAAATGCTCCTGCAGTGCATCAGGTTTATAAGACATAATATCAAGCCTGTCTTAACTTAATGGCACAAGAAAAGAAATAACAAGTACTCCTTCCGTCCCAAAATATAAGGGAGTCAGTCCAAATTCATATTACTAGGATGCGTCACATCTACCCAAAATCCTTTATATTTTTGGACGGAGGGAGTATTCATGTAGGATGTGCATAAAACTTAAAAAAGCGTAAAAGATATTTTATAATACAACAGTGTCATTTCCATATAGTATTGTTCTTCCACTGTATTCTAAACTAAACCAAACAAATTTCCATTAACAATCAATTAACTATTCTGATTAAACATTTTCCAGTCCACATAACCAAAAGGAAAGTGCAACTGTGACCCCCCCCCAAAAAAAAAATAATAATAAAATAATAATAAATAATAATAAAATAAAATAAATAAATAAATCAACAGTTCATTGGAGATAGTAAATTTGTTGTTTAGTGTGTTGTTTCATGAAAAAGCTAGCAAGCTAGAAATGCATGGTAAACAAGGCTAAATTGTAAATGAATATAGATTAAGTTGAGTGGTCTGATATGTTTACTGCAGAGCTTTCTCTGGTTATCTTACAAATGAATTTGAATTTAAGGAGGCGTAGCAACATAAATTGAATATCAAATTAGGGACCAATAAAACATGGGAAACATGTAGAAGACTTACTACTTCCTGAGTTATCTTCATCAAGAGTACATTTCCAAAGTTCCCTACCAGAAAGATTATGAACCTGTAGACGATTAGAAAATATTCTGATCATTCCAATATGACAAAGAAGGTGTTTGATACAGATACATTGCTGAACATGCAAATTTTCTGTTTCACTAAGTTAGTTGCTATAGCTCCAACTAATTTTAAGAGTAAAATAATATAAAATGATGATTCAACTGTACAAACCAGTCGATTTGATGCATCACCATTTTCTGTTGCATAAGCAACCTGAGAAAGACACTGCCCGAGCCCACTAAGGACACTGTTAAGTTTACTCTTATCCTGGAGATGAATCCTGTCATTGCTCAGTACAGCAAGAAAGTTGTTGAAGACCTATCAGAAGAAATAATGAAACTGAGATTATTACTAGGTATGAATGTGCTAAATCTCACATAAATCCTAGCAGGAATTAGAAGAAGTTTCAATAGCATATGCCTTGGTACATATAATTAGTTGATGAAAGATAGACTATGAAATATTTTATGTTAATTTAACACCTCCCATCTTCTGTAAATAGAGATAAAAGGAAGAAGGGCACATGTCAGGGGCAAGTAGCCACCAATACATTGCCTCCTAACACAAGAACCTTTTCAACTTTCAAAACACCAATACATGAAAGAAACCCATTCACCTGTTCAGCGTATCCTGGAAAGGAGGATGGGAAATTAATAACAACAAGCTCCAAAAATCTGAAAGACATTAACTGGATATCCATGGATAGATGGGTCATTCCGTTCAAAATATTGGCCATCAGCAGAAACAGTGTACTGCGTGTCGATATTGCATTGTCCTGCCATAAATAGATACCAATTGTCTCACATATGCAGCCAATAGCATAGAACTAGAAAATGGAAATGATAGAAGGAATAAGATATGGAAATCCATTAGTAGCTAGAAGAGCCCGTATGGTCAGCATGATGAAACTAAAATAGACAATTGGGGGAAGAAAAACAGTGATCAAGTTACCAATAGCTTGTGAATCATAGCAACCTCGTGAGATCTCTCACGAATTCAGAAATAACTGGCAAGAAGTGGGGAAATACCTCTTTCAAAGATGGGAAGACGAGAGACTGCAGTATACTGAACAAGGATTCACGAACCACCTTGTCAGTGTCACATATTCTTTCCTGTAGCTTCTCAACAATTGCAACCTTGTGAAGTTTAAGCTCTGATGGATGCTTAGCAACAAGATCCTTTATCCCATTCAGCGCAGCTTCAACAAAATAACATAACAATGCAGCCCAAGTTAGCTAGTCTCATCAAGCACAGGCCGAATCGATCGATCGAATCAACTGTTTATCTGGCCATCTGGGTGGCAGTCCGCGCAGAGACTGCCTATCGGTGGCTCACCTCGGCGCACATTGGCATTGTAGTGGCCCGTCTGCTGCAAGAGCTCCCGCAGCGTGAGCCCGCGCTTGTTCACGGCCATGCCAGCCCTCTCCGACGCCATGCTCTGCTCCGGCAGCACGATCGCTGCAACCACACACGCGCACATCACAATCCGAAACCCTAAATTACGCGCCCTGCTGCGAAAACCTCAGGCCACCGAGGGAAAAAAAAAAAAAAGAGGCGCCCGCAGCTCACCTCTGGACTTGATCTCCGTGTCGGTGGCATTCTTCGGCGGCGGCAGCTTCCGCCCCACCTTGTGCTTGTACTTCTGCGAGCCACGAAGAGAAAAAAAACACACACACACCCGAACACCAGTGAGCTCGTCGGAGCGGGCGTCGCTTCAGTTGGGGGAGGGGAGGGGGGGAACTCACCTTGAAGTCGACGCCGCCGCGCTGCTTCGGCTTCGCCTTGGGCTTCTTCGACGAGGAGGAGGACGCCGCGGCGCCGCCCTTCGGCCTCCCCATGGCGCGGGCGCGTCTCTCTTTCTCTCTCTCTCCGGGCAGCGCTTGCTGACGAGACGGCGGCGGCGGCGGCGGCGTGGTGGGGGTTTTGCGCGCGACGGGCGGTACAAGGGCTAAGCCCCCGAGGCTGCGGGCCGTGGCGGAGACGGTCTCTCGTTCATGGGCCTCGGAGACGTCCCTCCCCCTCGTGTACTCCCGGCCCCAGAAACCGACGCCGAAAGAAGCCCACGTTAGAGTCCGGCCTTCTGGGTCGCTCAGAAACCCAGCCGAGCAGTGTACTGGGCTGGGCCACGCTAGTACTCAAGTCTTCCCTAATACTGGGAAATGTTTCTAATAGAGTCAGGGTACCAAGCAGTAAATAGATCGCCTGTTAGGTTTAATTATTTTATGATTGATGAAGATTTTATATCCCATAGATCCTACTTTTCTGTGTAGGCCATAGCAGCACACTATAGTGATGAGATTGGTAGGTATACCGTATACAATGCAACCAAACTTACGCAAATAGAAAATACTTATAGAATTTTCACGTACTAACTGTATTAGGAAAGTTTGATGATATGCAGTTGGGGATAAAGACACATGCCGAGCCGAAGCGCGGAATCGGGGGTGGTCTCGCCGGTCGCCGCCGCCGTTGGCCAAATTCGCCAATTCGGGCTGCGTTGAACCGGCGAAAACACCGGTGGAGTCGCGGAGATACGCCGCTTCACCGAGAAAATCACAGGGCGCGTTTATTTGTGCGATCGTGCCAATGCCACGGACGCGCGAGCCACCGCATTGTGAGACGGCCGCGACGACACCCGTACGTCGGCCGTCGCCACCGGTGACGCGCGCCTGATTTTACCCAACCGCTCGCTCTGAACCGGCGTGGAGGCATCAAACCAACGGGTGGCAGTGAACTCAATCAGGCGAGCGCACGGTGGACTCCATGGGGAGTAGCAAGAATCCCTGGTAGTGAAAAGTCTCCGGCAAATCGCATCCCTGACCCTGAGGCTGAACAAGTGAACAACGTACAAACCTAGCTGGTTAATTAACTTTACAGCGATTTTACAGTGGGCCTCTCGGTTAGTAAAAAAAAGCTTTGCCTTACGCAGAACCACTTGGTAATTAGTTCTTTTTTATCCCTGTGAGATCTGTACTTCTCTACTCGTGTTACGTGAGTGCGCGCGTAATTCTTTGACGACCGGGACGAGGGGTGTGGGGTTGGGATCGGCAGCCGCGCGCGCGCGCGTCGTACGATGAGCGGGCACGTGGCCGCGCGCGAGGCCGGCCGGCCGGCGGCGACGACGGTGCAGCACGCCGACTTGCCATGTCTGCGTGCGTATGAATACATGTGGATTCGGTCGCGCGCGAACTCGTCGTCTCGTCGTACGTCCAGGCGCGCACGCAGCAGAGAGGCAGCGAGCTCATCTCCCGAAAGCCACCCACCACCACCATGCACCACCACTCGTCGCCAGCAGGTTGGCACTTGGGGACTTGGGGCAGAACGCCCCTCGTGCGTGTGCATGCCCGCCCCCGGGCCCCGGCCACGGCCACTGCTGAGTGCACACGACCGTACCCTCTCCGGCTCTCCCTGTAACAAGGCTGTAAATTGCACCAAGTTCTCTATCTTCAAAGTCACGTGATTTTATCACTGACATAATTTTGATAATTTAGAGCTATTTTGGATTGATACCAAAATATGCCCTACCAATTTATTAGTACCTTAAATAGTAATCATATAGGTTTGGATTGAAGCCAAATTGTTAGTCATACCTATGATTAATTTGTCACTAATCTAGAACCTTCTTCTCTATATCATCAATACTTGTCATCATATTGGTAGCAATCCAAACATATATAATGAATCTCTACCCAACCAAAAAATTGATAGTACCAAAACATGTCAAGAATTTGGCACTACCAATGATTTGGTAAGGTAGAGATCTAAACAGCCTCTTAAAGTCGTGTGACTTTATCGCTGATATGTGAACCTAATAAATACTACATCCGTTTTTTAATAGATGACGCCGTTGATTTTTCTCACATGTTTGACCATTCGTCTTATTAAAAAATTTTATGCAAATGTATAAGATATAAATCACACTTAAAGTACTATGAGTGATAAAAGAACTCATAACAAAATAAATTATAATTACGTAAATTTTTTTGAATAAGACGAATGATCAAACATGTGAGAAAAAGTCAACAGCGTTATCTATTAAAAAATGGAGAGAGTATTGGATTCATATGTCAGTGACTTGTGACTTTGAAGGTGGGGTATCTTGATCAATCCCCACCTCACCAACTGCAGGGCGGGCAAGCAGGTTGAAAAAGAAAAATACAAAGAGAACCCAAGTAATCAAGTGGTAATATAACCGTGGTCTGAGTCCTCTGATAGGTAATTAGGTAGATATCTGATGCTACCGGAAATCAATCTGCAATCTGGCATGCGGAGCGGACCTCATCATTTTCTCAGTTAAGTGGCTAATTAACGCCTGATCTTTTCCGGGCATTTTTATCTGAATCCGATCGATAATACGCACGATGCAATTTTCACAGGTACTCCACAGTGTCCGTCGATCGGCATGCACGTACGCATGAATCAACACGGCAGCTTTTCGATGGGTAGCATGTTAATTACCACCATGGCCAACCGACGTTAATTTGCATCAAAAGGGGTTAATTAGCTGCCAGAGTGACACGTCGACCACTGAAGCTGTGAAGACTGAAGAATCATCCCGCTCCATGATTTGCCGCGCCCATCGAAGCTTTTAAACGTACGATCGACAAGGCTTTGCTTTTTTTTTGGGTAGCGATACTTCAACGAGAGAGAACAATACTTCCATCGTTTTGTTTTCCCACATGATGATGTTTTGCACAGGTATTCAGAAATGATGCAGAGCAAGTGCAGAATATACAATATAATGCACTCTTGGATACTTTGGTGGGTGTAGCCTTGTATATATATGTTCAGAAAATAATGGTTGATACTTACCTCCAGGCATAATCAGGACCATGGGTTAAACTATTCCTAGGGCTTGGTAAACAAAACCATGACAGATGTACGGGTTAGAAGAGATGTCTTTAGGCCTTGCTTTGACAGTTTGACTGCATATCAAGTTATGAACCCTATAGCTAAGCTAGCTAGCTAAACCTGCAATGCATTTGCACTGTATATCTTCTTCTATAAAAGGCCTACAACCCCCAACACTGCATCCTCTCCCCTATCCGTCTTCATACTAACAAGAGTACGTACAAGATTTCGTATCGATCGTATAGAGAGATCGAAGTCAGAAAGAGAGAAGAGATTATAAGTTAATTTCGCCATGAGCAGCAGAAGGACTAGCGCAGCTAATCTTCTTGCGGTTGCCCTGCTGATCATCTCCTTGCTGTTGTTGCCTCTTCTTCACCTTCCCGTTGCCCATGCTCGCCATGGTGAGTTCAATCTTCATTCTCTCATGAGCTAATAAACCCATGTGTCCTAGCTATATCGTTTGCTAATAATCCGTCGATCCTGTGCTGATTGTTCCTGCAGTTGCTGTGCTGAAGGCTACTGACAGTTCTAGTGCCATCAGCATCAGATCGGGACATGTGGTCAGTGAACACACACACACACACACACATATATATATATGCCTCAATATCTTGATTTTCTAGTAGGCATCGCATCTGTACGCTGTACTCATCGATCCTACTGAACTTTTTGCATTTTCTGGACGAATGCTTGCAGGAGCCCACCCCGGCGAGCGGAGCAGTGCAGAGGAGGCCAGCTAGCTCCGGTGCAAGTAACCGCGGCGGCGGCGGGCGGCGGCGGCGAGCGGCGGCAAGCAGCAGGAGTACGGTGGAGATGCGCGCGTCGGCGTGGGCGAAGCACCACCGCGACGAGGTCGCCAGGATGCACGAGATGCTGAAGAGGGACTACGCGTCCAAGGCGCGCCGCCGCTCGCCGATCAACAACGGCGAGCCGTCGCTGGAGGAGGAGGACCTGCCCTAACTAAGCTTCAGCTGCATATTCGTAGTGTAGTGTAGCGTAGCTTAGCTATAGCTCCTCTGAAAGATCTGAACTGACACACATAGGTAGTACATACAGTTATTACTAGAGCTGCTCTTTTAGTTAGCAAATTAGCAGGCAGGATAGTGTAGTTACTCCTATGGAATAACAGCCTTTGGTTTAGTATAGCATCCAAGCTGGGGCGTCATTTGTTAGCCCTGAGAGTCAGAGAGCCATGAACAAACAGTCTGAAACTGGGCAGTTTTGTCCCTGATGATGCTCATGCTTGGTGCTAGCTAAAGCTTTTAGCTAGCTTCACCCTGTAACATACATAAATGTGCACCAGTGTGTCAGGTTTGCAGTTTTAGCTTGCAGATATTATGTCACAGGCTTAGTGATTTACATGCATCTTTTTGTGCCTCCTGCCTTGCTCACATGGTCACAGAGAGAGAGAGTTACAGACTATGGCGATTTGTGTTCTTCTGAACAGGGTAACACAGTCCAGTTTCAGTTTTACAGTCTCCAGGGATGCTCATCAGCTACAATACTTTTCACCAAGTATACCTTCATTTCTCACTCTCAATGCAAATTACAAGCCACTACCGAATCCAGACAAGCCATTAACCTGCTATAGATGAGTAAAAAAAAGAGAGAGCAGGACATGGAGGGAGGGGGGCAGCAAGAGGAGGGGTGGTGGGGAAAGGGGAGAAATGAGCAACATTTTGAATGAATTTAACACGGCTACCACGACGAGCTCAGGGGCGCGACGCGAAGAGCTGATCTCAAAAAGAAAAGATATGCGGGAGCATGCAGATTCAGAATTTACAGCAGAGGATTCTATAACCCCAACCTCGGTCCCGTCTCAAGCGCCTGCGGTCCGCTTTCGCCATCTTCACAGGGCTGCTGTTCCACTCTGTCTGTAGCCTGAAAAATTGAGAAAGAAAAGGAGGAGCTTGATCCATTAGCTTCATGGAGTATATGGGAAGCATAAATTCTGAATGTTATGTGGATTGGCCAAAGAGAAAATAATTCAATGGTTAATCTGCTTTTCCAGCTAAGATCTCAGTCTGCTGTGTTTAGATAAAAAGAATAAGCAGATGACACCATTTGGATGTGAAGAGAACTTTGAAGCTGCTTATAGAGATAGGAGGGGAAGAGTGACAACCTCCCTATAAGGTTGCCTTCCTAGAAAACCTATGTTTCCTAGCTTCTGACTTCTAGTTCCTTTTCTAGATTCTATAGCTATAGATTCCTAGAATCTGAGTGACAATCTGTACTGTTTGGGGGAGCTAGAAATTCCGGGAGAAGCTGTAGCAGCTAAAAACTCCCCAACATGGCCATATACTATTTACCTCAAGAGTTTTCTTGTGCAGGCAAATGAATGATTCCAATTAATGGAACAGATTGGGTGGAAAATTTATGTGAAACTAACAGAGGAGAGGAAATGCACACAAATGTGTAAGAAAACATATTAAGTAATGGTTTTCTTTTTCAGAAAGGTCCACAGAATATACAGTACGATCCATTCACAGTTGGCTATTTTCCTGATCTCAAAGAAAAAGGCCGTCCATTTTCCTTTGAAATAGAGGGGTGGCAGCATGACTGTTATAAAAAGCAATAGCAATGCAGGCAAGGGAGCTACTCTACTCTGAGAAAATTTAATTGAAGTGCATCTTCACTTACACTGGAAATGCGAAGGACCGAGTACTTGTTGTGCTGCTATCCGATCGAAGAGAAATGTTTCCAGAATAAGGTATATGACCTGATGGTGTTAGTGGACCTGATATAATGCTAGGTCCAGAAAAACTTGACTCAAAGGGATTGCGGATAACATTTCGAGCTGTTACTTTTGCACTGTCAGCTTCATTTGGTTGAGCTACAGATTCTGTTTGCATGGTCACTTTTGCACTGTCAGGTTCATTCCGTTGAGCTACAGGTTCTGTTTGCATTGTCATCTTTGCACTGTCAGGTTCATTTTGTTCAGTTACTGGTCCTGTTTGCCGTGTGGAACTCTTACTATCTTTGTTGTCCTCACTTATATTTGTGCCATCGTTTGCTTCTCTTGGGTTGAAATCATGTCCGTCTTGGACACTATCGATCTCGCATTTTGGATCATTCTCACTTTTCGCATCAATAGGCTCTGTCTTACCAGTTAACGGAGATGTACCTGAACTCGTCCCATGTGCTGCATCAGTTCTAATTCCATAAACGAAATTATCCACCTGATCATTTCTATCTTCCGAAGGTTGGACATACGACCTACTTGGACTTGCTTCAGTAGAGTCTAATCTACTGTCTTCATTTCTCGCTCCATCTGTTTCAGTAGAACTAAGTGCCCTGTCAACAGGATCACTCAAACTGTCTGAATTTTCAACAGGACTTCTCTGATCAACAGGAATTTTTCTCTCATCACTCAAAATGTCATCACTTCTTGCTTCATCTTTTTCTTCAGATGCTTGGACATCAGTCATACTTGAATTTTCTACAACAGAATCTAATGTACTGTCTTCTGCAATGGATTCACCAGTTTCAAGAAAATTAAATCCTCGCAGTGCACCATAGACGATATCACTAAAACTGTCTGTCTTTTCGACAGGACAGGGCACTGAATAAACATCATCAACAATTGTAGGTAGGGAGTACTTGGGTTCCCACGTGTCCTCTAATGATCCATATGCGATGAAGGGATTATAGTGATTAATTTGGTTGATTTCTGTCTTATTTAGTGCCACACCAGAAACACCATCTTCAGTCACCACCCCAGAGTGGCCATCAGCAGTTGACTCAACTGATAAACCATTGACGTTAGTGATCGCAGATGCAATACTAGCTCCAGTTTCATGGGAATCATTTGATGGAACCTGTAATAAGAGTATCATATTTAGTGGTCCAATTGTGGAGAGAAGTCATATGAATGCTAAAAAGATCATCATTCAGTGTGCAAACTCATATTTTGAATCAAAAAAACTCAAATATAGACTACAGAACCAAAAGAACATATAGTCTTATCATAATAAAGATGAAATCCAATCAATGACGATGCATGCTGATGGCAACAATGAGTTTTAAGAACTAATGTGACAAACATATTGATGATTTTCTAAGTGTCTGTAATACTGTAAGTTGCAGTTTACCTGATCAACTGGTTCTCCATTGAGATTTGGCCCATGATTTTCACTGCTCTCAGAAACATCTGCACCCATTTGTTGGCAATATTCTGCATTGTCATTACTTACTAATTGTTTGGGCGTCGATTTCTCAACATTTACAACAGTCAATCCATCTACACTACTGTTGCCTTCGAGATCATGCAATTTGCAAGGATGATTTTGTTCCACAGTATCCCCATCAGTAACACATGCTTCGGGCAGGACAACTATTTGCGATTTTAAATCATTAACAGATTTTGCAGGTTCATCTGCTGTTTCTTTTATCCGAATACCATTTGTATCTCCCTTTGAAGAATTCAGGTTCAGTGACACCTTTTCTGCTATAGCCTTCTGATCAGCAAGTACTCCCTCATCAATGCAGACATCCTTAACAAACTGAACGCCATAATTAGAAGAGACCATTATATCTGGCAATTTGATTTCCACAACATCCTTGTCATAAGAAACATCCTCAGGCCGTATCTGGATGGCTTTATCTACATTTTGTTGCCCGGCCTTCATAAAACTATATTCTGATGGATTGGTTTGTTGTACCATTGTATCAAGCAAAATATGTTGTTTAGTTTCTCTTTCAATTTCTCCATCTACTTTAGGGCCGCCATTGGATACAAGCTCATGAAAAACATTACTATGGTAAGGCCTTCCATCATCTGCAAGCATACATCAAAATCATCAACCGTTGAGAGAGTGAACAGAGAAGAACATGATTTCACAACATAGCAACATGTACAATTCTCACCATTGATTAGTTCTGATTTAGACAGTCAAACAGTAACTAAAACTATACTTGATGTCTAAGTGATGAGACTTTTTTCCAAAAAATTTTTGAAAAGGAGACCTTTTTACAATGGAATGAGCAAAAGAGAACCTGGTTACTTCTGCTGTCATTTCTCTTTCATTTCAGTTGTACTGTCATTTTTACTCATTTGCAAACACGGATTCTTTTGGCTGTGACTGACTCAACCATCTTACTGCATCATAAAGGTGGAACATAACTGTGATAGAGACAAAGCTGTCTTGTTGGTTAAGTAAGGGGTTGTTGGTATTATTGAAAGAACGTAATAAATAACAACCCAAAACGTTAATTTTGGGATGAAATTGACAATCTTCCTACCAAACATATCAAGGTTCAACAAATCAAATCATTTATTTTGGGTCACAATCAAGTCAATTTGATGAATGAGAATTTAAATGAAATGGATGGATAATGCAGCCGTCAGTAGTCAGTACTGATCCATATCATACCTATCAATAAAGACATCTGTCACAGCAAGTCACTGAACGAATACATTTTTCATTTACAAAACAAGATTTCATAAAATGAATCATCTACTAATTCTTATGAGGGCATTAATCTCCACAAGTCCAAATTCACCTCAGAACATATCCCAACGCCATAGTGTGAGATAATGCAACTGTAAAGACTAGAAGCTACACCGTAGAAATAAGATCAGCTCTTTAAAGCCGCACAAACTGTGTATCATCTTTAATCTTCTGTTGATGAATGATGAATAGTAATGTTACGTTCAAAGCAAACCAATCTCTGGAATATCCTACAAACCAAGCAATCACCGTGCTTAATTTCTACAGCTAAGCCAATGTCATACAGATACAAAATACTCCTATAAGGTAGCAGAAGATTGATAGGTGAGAGATTCCCTTACCAATCTTCATGATCTGCATTGTGTGCTTAAGTCCTAGTCATGCCTCAAACAATTTCCTTGAAAATAGAGCTGCTTATTTCCTGCCAAAAAATAAAAAAAAATCAATCAAGAGTCAATGCATTGCATCCGGCATCCGGCATCCAGATTACATTAAAAAGAAAACAACACACAGACGCTAATGCCGATGTCCATCTATCGACAAACAAATGCCGTGCTTTGCGTAAACCAGATTCCCTCTAGAGAGAAAAGCCCCCCAGCATCCTGATAAAACCACCCACTTTACACAAACCTTTATACGAGAAGACAGTACACCCCAAAAGAGAGGAAGATAAAAAAAAAATAAGAAGGAAGAAACAAACCAATCTCACAAAACACAATGCTAGAAAAAGAAAAAAAAAAGGTTTCTGATGAGCAAAGGCGAAATTGTGTGACGAGTGACGACCAGTCTGTCTCACCAAACGCACATAGGTACAGAACACAGCACGAACACCGAACAAGACCACCACTACTAGAGACTCTGCTACAGAGCAGTACAAGGCTAACTGAAACCACAAGTTTTTTTTTTCCTTCTTTTTTTTACACGGCGGAGCAGAGCAGAGCAGAGCAGAGACCGACAGGTATGCAAAACGCAGCAAGCTTTACTAGACGAAGCAAAGGATCTCTCTTCTTTTTTTTCTTTTTCTGTTCCCTTCTCTGTCACGAAAGGGGAGCGAGGGGATCGACGACGGGCGAAATCAGCGGCCTTTGCACCGATCTCGGCGTCGGCGGCGGAAGAACTCTGACGCAGGCTTTAACTGCGCGCATCAGATGGTGTCGCCATGGGGAGTAGTAAACGGGAGCAGTAAGACAGTAGCAGTAGGAGGAGAAGAAGACGACGACTTTGAGAAAATTTTATAATCTTTTTTTGTTGCTCTTGCCGTTGGCGAATGGAAGATGAAACTCTAATCAACCAAACCGCTGATGTAAAAAAATTCCACAATCCGTCTCATCAGTTCATACCGAAATTCATCAAAAGAATCGATAAGGGAAAAAAACAGCAGAGAAAAAACAGGGGAACACGAACACGAACAAGATAGCCACTCTAGCAGCCATCAGCCGCCATGGGCGGCGAAGGAAAACAACCAACACCGAGAAAACCAAAACCAAACCAAGAAAACGACGAGACGAGGAAGAAGAAGATGAAAAAGGAGAAGGATCAAGAACTGACCTGAGTTCACTTCTCTCTCTTTCTCTCCCTCCCCGGATAGCACCGGCAATTCACTTCACTTCACCGCGTCGAGCGAAAAAAAAAAGTTTCCGGGAGAATCGCCGGGAGCAGCGGGAGGCCAGGCCGGCGAGGAGAGGAGGAGTGGGATCGCGTCCGCGGCGAGCCCGAGAACCAAAAAAATTCTCGAAATATATTAAAAAGGATTTCCCGGGCGGAGGGTGGAGACTTTAATAAGCGGCATGAAGAGGCAGCTCAGTGCAATAAATTTTCATGGGGCGTTTTTACAGAAAGGGGCATGTGATTTCCCCATATTTGCAGATGCATCCCTCTAGGTAGCAACAAACAATGCCCCTTTGGATGGAGTTTTGTGGGACTATTTTCATCCTAGTGCCTTCGTTTACAATTCTGAGGGCTGTTCAGATTGATGTTATTTTTAATTATTTTATTTTTGGGTAAAGTTATCAAAAAAAATCTACATTTAGTTTATTGCTAAATTTGGTAAATACATAAGAAATCCTGTCAAAATTTTGGTTATATTATCATCTTGCCAAAATTTTAGCATTGCTAAAATTTGATAAAGTTTATTTTGGTTACAATCTGAACAGACCCTTGGCATTCTCATGGAGATGGATTATTCAAAAGGATGTTTTTTAAATTCATAAACATTGAAAGGGTTTTATGAAAATGATACTACCTGGGATGGATTTGGATCCGGTGCAGTACCTAGTGTGACTGCAACATAAGCAGTCACACTAGGACCTTTTGATGCAAATCAAGGATCCAAAATCTACGAAGTACTGTTCACATCTGAAAAAACTGTAGAACTACTGTAGCATCAACACTGTAGTATCAGATCTAGACCGTTCATTGAAAAAATGGATGGCTGAGATGATGTGCAGTTCCTAACTTGCAGTCACAGTTAGGACTGCACTGGATCTCAATTCACTTGGGGGATTTGGATCCGGTGCAGTACCTATATGCTTATAGTATGCCTTGCTTGGACACGAGATTTTCGCGGGTATACCATTGTTTTGGAAACAACATTATCTGAAGATAGCGTGTGCCATTTCCTTGATTTGTTTCAAGAGCAACAATTTCTTAAGCTCATTTGGAAATGATTTACAAGAAGTGATTTTTTTTATCTCTCTTGGAAATGATTTGTATACTACTAGTGTTTTCTCAGGTGTACACTGCAAAACAGGGAGGACAATTAAGTGCTGAATCCTGGAGATAGAAGAGAATTGATAGCATTTCATCAGTAAGAAATCCATAAGATACAAGTGCATTGATAGCAATGGCGTCAGTTATACTCTACGTTATACATTGCCACATCAAGGGACAAGCTAACTACGTATTGATGGCATAATCTCAACAAAATACACCAAAAAGGTGATCCATCAAATATGAAATATCCCAAGACTTGGACCAGCCGAGGAGTGGCATCTGTCAAGATCTCCCTTTCAGAACAACACTGAAACCGAAAGATATCAAGAAGGCGATCTCTGAATTTTCAGAAAGGTATTAAATACCTTTACCGTCACACGATCTCATCTAGAATCATGGTAAGATAGCATCATAAGAAAACATAGCATATGACATCGACTCCAACTAATAGTACCACTAATACTTGCACTGAATATTGTTAGTACAAGATTTGCTGTACTTCTGTACCGGGAACAAATCCTTTCAGCTGATGCGTCTCAGTCTTTCAGAAACCATGGGTTAATGCAAATAAAGAATGTGTATTAGTGATTACAGATAAGGCCAGGGTGTGGTTGGTGAATGGCTGAGAAGAGGTCAAAGAAAAGAAGGCATTAATTTAGCCGGAGAAGTGCCCAGCCGAGCCGGGAGGAGGAGACAGCTCGGCGGCATTGAAGTATTCTAAAGCCTAAACTACCTCTATGGACCCCAATTTATTACACACACAGGATCCACCATGCTTCAATTTACCCTAGGATAAATTGAAGAAAAATACACTAGTGGTAGCTTAACAAGTGTGATCGATTTACAAATAATCCTTGTACGTGTTTCTAGCTCTAGGTTACATCAGGGGGAGCACCGTTAAAGATTTTTAGAAAGATGGAAAAAAATCCTCATTCATATGTGAGTTTAGAGAGGTTTTCTCCCATAATTTGTTGTAGATTTTCTGTAATTTTTCATTTAAAATGGGGGTTAAATGAAATTGATTTGTCTGAATAGGACAAAAAAAAGTGAGAAAAATAGATATTCCGTACCCAATGTCGCTATCTAACTATAATACCGTTAGAACACATATGTACAACGGTTAAAGCGACTATCATCGTTATATATTTTACACTATAAATCTAATATATAGAAGCAACATGAAAAAGAGACGGCGCTATGGCGTTTAATACCACTCTTTTTTTTCCTTCATGTCTTATGCGCAACCCTTCTTTTTTTTCTATTTTTTTCTCTCATTCTTGTAAGTAAAATAAGTGTTATGAGACGCCTCTTTATATCAATTGATATTATATATGTCCTCATTATGTGCAGTCCACTTGTCAATATGTAGGAGCAATAGGTTTGGAAAGAGTTGTACTTGATTTTGCTTTTGAATTCCTCCTTTTGAAACTATAAACGCCTCTTTCAGTGACATACAAACCAAGTACGTTTATCTACTAAACACAATCTGTCATGGTAATGAGAATACAATATACACTGAACTCTAGATGAAAACTAGAGCATACATACAAGTGACATGTCATTTCAATAGAAAAAAGGAGAGAGAATCTATTATATATGGATAGTTCTAGGAATATATGCCATTGACTTTGCCTCTTTTCCGAATATGCCATCAAGCTTCTTATTTAGTCTGCAATGTTGAAACTACCACTAGTTTTCCCGGTGAAATGTTCTTTTACAAAAGGGGGGCAAATGTCTCCCCCCTTCTATACTCATAGTCACTTATAAAATCCACCAACTTATTTTTTTTCTCCGATAACTAGCATAACGATATTACAACTTTGACAAACTTTTTTTTAAGAAATGCCAAAGTGAATATATATTTCAATGTAAAATATTACTATAGTAATTTCGACTACAAATCAAATGATATATCATTGATGCTAAATATTTATATTATTCAAAATACCGTTGATCAAATTAGTTGACTCTAAATAGTTAAACTTATGGACGGACAGAGTATCATACTAGGACATCAGAGACGATCACATATAAGTAAATTATTAATTCCAGAAATCATTTTGTGGTGCCCCCAAGGACAAGGAGGCCCTTTTCTGGGGGCCAAAAAGAAAGGGTTGAGAGGAAATGATGCCATTGACTTGTGCACCTCTAGGCAAGAGGCAGAAGCAAGAAGGGAGAGAGCGGTGGTGCATGTAAACTTGGATGATTGGCTGCTGCCGAGGCCACTATGGAGTGGCAACGATGAAACAGCATTTGCGCTTTCTCTGGACTCATCTGTTTGACCTCAGATGGCTCGCCATGATGCAGGGCATCATGCCATGCTCCCAGCTTGGTTTTCTGATGTGTGTTCCAGCCTACAAGGGCAGGCTCCCTGGTTCCCTCTTTCAGGGATGCAGGGTTTTTTTTTTTTTGGGTGATTGCCATGTGTGTCCATGGTGTAGACAGTAGAGATGATCTATTTCTCCCTGCATGTGTGCTGTTCTATCTGGAAATTGGAACTGTCCCAATTCAGTGCTTGTTTCTGCTTATTGGTGAAAATAGCTCCGTTTTTTTCTCATATGACCTATTATATATGCTAAAAAAATACTACTGGACCGTCTTGAAATATAAGATGTATAAGATCTTTACATAGTTCGCAACATTATATTTTGATCATTAGTTTGTTATATACTCCATATTGTCAACGCTATAAAATTAATATAATATAATAATACATTCAAATATATAATGACATCACATACATGACAAATCAAGCATATATATAATTATTAGTACAAGGTTACGAATGTTTTTTCTCTTAAAATAAGGATGCTTTAGTATTTTGGAACTGAGGGGTTCAGAAGATTGAAAAATCACCACAACAATCGAGAAAACATAGAGAGCTGTAACATTATTTATTGTTGGTGGTTATAACGTACCACTATAAACCAGGATAAAATATCCCACGCTAAATACAGTTCAGAAATTCCCCGCAAAAAATACAGTTTAGACATAATTAAGATTCGAACTAAAAATACTTTTGCAACGATCATCATTTTTCCATCGAAGAATATACATCGCGTGGAGTAATGTAGGAGACCAAAGGATCAATAATTTTTCTTTTGAAAGCAGAAAAGAACCTACTACGACTACTGCCCCCCTCCTGTTTCTTTTGGAAATAGGAATAATCCCATTGAGAGCCACAGGGCAAAGCAAGGCACTACTCTAGAAACAGTAGATCCTTTTCCCCTCTTGCGGGGACAGCAGAGGGGTAGATCTAAGTTCTAGCTAGGGCGAGCTGAGCTGCCCTGGTCTGTGCAAGTTGAGGGCGAGTTGATTGGCACTTTGGCACGGCAGGCAACACCTCAAAAGGCAGAAATTGGCGCAAGCATGCCTGCAGGATCGATGGTGCTGTGGGCCATTGGCATAATACAAGTGCAAGCATGGAGCTGATAGCAGCTGTTGGACAAGGAAGCATGCATATCCATACAATTTTGTGTGTTAATAATTTCCTCCTGGTTTTAAATACAGATGGCATTGTCAACTTTTGAATTAATATATGCTTTGATCATTCCTATTATATATATCGTGTAAATATGTAAAATGATAAGTAATACTTAAAGTATACCTTTAGTGGTAACCAAAATACAATAAAATATATGGTAATTACATACTTTTCTATGAGAGGAATGATCAAATTAATATATGTACAGAAATCAGAATTAATAGATATTGATTTGGGGGAAGAAACTAAGAAAATGAATACTTTTTCTTTCTTTTTGGCGTTGGAAACTTAGGTGCACATTTGGAATAAAAGTCTACTAGATAGTTATGATGTGATATATTCTAATACTACGAATCTATGAATCGGGATAAGAATTATATAAATTTATAATACTAAGATATATCACATTATGTGATGATTTTTTTTACGAAAGAAGTAGTATATTTTTCAAGGTTCAGAAAGTTGAAATATTCCAATATACAGTGGAAACGTATGGTTTACGTGGTTCTTTTGTTACCTCGCCACGTAATTTTCAGTACCTATCAGCTTTGTCATTCTTTTT